TTTGAACAAACCGAGATTTGTGCTTGGGATCATTGTCTTGCTGGAACAACCATCTGAGTGGCATTTCTTCATCAGCATGAGGCAGCATATTATTCTCCAATATGTCTTTGTACAAAAAACGGTCCATTATCCCATCAATTTTAACAAGAGGACCAACACCTGAGCGAGAAAAACACCCCCATACCATTATACTCCCACCACCATGTTTTACTGTGGGCATCTGGTACTTATGGCTGTACCGTTTACCTTTTGGTCTTCGGACATAACGTCTCCCGTCACTACCAAACAGTTGAAACTTGCTTTCGTCGCTAAACAGTACAGTATTCCATTTCTGATAAGACCAGGTGAGATGATCTTGAGCAAATTTAAAGCGGGCCATCCTATTTTTCTTTGATATTAGTGGTTTCTTCACCGCAACTCTTCCAAAAAGTCCCATGTCATCCAACCTTCTTCTCACCGTGCGTGCAGACACCGATATTTTTTCCCATTTATATATATATATATATATTTCACCCATTTCTCGAGAAATTACTGTGGATGTTTCTTGGATCTCCCATTGATATTCTCTTCATTACTTTCATTGTCCTGTTGCACAACTTTCTTGGTCTTCCTGACTTAAAAGCTGTTGAAACGTTCCCTGTTTTATTAAATTTACGAATTATTTTCGAAACGGTGCCTTTTAAAATGTTTAAATTTTTACTTATTTGAATTTGTTTATAACTGCTCTTGTATAATTCAACTATTTTATTTTTTAAATCCGTAGAGAAATATTTAGACTTGGGCATGATGTTTATATTTATCTGAAGCAAATCGTACCGTTTATCAGCTTAAACTAAATAATTTTAATGTATTTATTTATGGTTTCCATACTTTTGGCCACAAGAAATCTATTGTTCTCCTACAAAAACTGCTAAACAGATTTTTTTCGCTGTGTAATTTTTGGAATACTTTTATTTGCTGATAAGCTGTTCATTTATATTCCTGATAGTTTAAGCATAGCAATATTTTCTGTGATATTTTAAAAAGTAAAAAGTTTCCATACTTTTGGCCACCACTGTATCTTTTACTATGCTCTCTAGAACAGCATGCGGCCCGTCTGGCTGCCGGTAAACGTTGCGTTCCCTACTGCGCATTGAAAGAAAATCCTATATTTTTATTAGTCCTTCAAATTCTAGTATTGAATATGAATCGAACATGTCTCCATAGCGCAGTGCGTAGAGTTTCCGACCACGAACCGATGATTCAGAGTTCGAGTCTGGGTCAGGACAAAGACTTTTTTATTTTATTTTCGTTTATATTCAGATAGTAAAGTATTAAATATTTGTTTTTCTTTAATTACCAGAATTATTTAATACTTTACTAACAGAATATAAACGAAAATAAAATAAAAAAGTCTTTGACCTGACCCGGATTCGAACTCTGAATCATCGGTTCGTCGTCGGAAACTCTATGCACTGCGCTATGGAGACATGTCCGATTTATATTCAATACTAGAATTTATAGGCCTAAATTAATCTTCTTCCGATGCGCAGTAGTGAACGCAACGGGTATCGGCAGCCAGACGAGCCACATGCTGTTCCAGAGAGCATAGTAAAATATATATCAAAGAGCCAGACGTCTTAAAAAACTTTCTCGAAAACGTTGCTAGCTCTTATATAAGAAGTGGCTTAACAATAATAGCATCATCAAAACAAGAAAAAGAGTGCAGTTGTATGTTGGAGAGGTGAAACTTCTTTAGAAGAAGCATAAAAACATACCCAAAGAGAGGCCTAAGTTATCCACAAGAAAACTCATTGGAAAAAGCGAAAATTAAAAGAAGTCGTGTTTATACAAATGTGAAAAGGTGGCCGTGGCATAATTTTGACATTTTGACAGAGCACATCTAAGAAATTAATGAAAAATGATATATACTTTAACAACGAGGATAGGTTAAAAACTTTATTTCTTCTCGCACGTTTTTTAATTGGTTCCATTTTTGAAAATGTTTGTATTCCTTTTCATAAGTTATTCGGGATTTAAATGGATGTAGTTTGGATATGGCGTTTGTCGCCTCAGCCTGTATATCTGTTGGTAATTTACTTATTTCGTTTTGAGCCATTTCTGGCTCCAATTCAATCAGCAATCGACACGAAAGAGAATTAAAAAATATTAGCTCAAAACTGACAACTAAAGGGACAGCTTTATTTATTTGTCAAACTACATAGAAACCCATAGAAACCAACGCACAATATTTTTTCTATTCGTAATAAATTCCTTGAAATAATAGTTTCTGAACATTTTTTAAAACGTAACTCGCTATGGAAAAAAATATTGTTTTATACATGACGATAAAATTGCATTATCGTCTTGTATAAAAAATAACTATTAAATATATTAAATGTCATATTTAAAAAGATTTTAAACATGTTATAGATAGAGTATCAGCAAAATCATCTTTTAAGAACTTTTTATTAGGTCAAAAAAAGGTTTCCGAGTATTTTTCGTACCTCTGACATTACTTATGCAGATATATTATTATTGTTGTTGTTGATATTACTTCATCAAAAAACCCAAACACTTCGTTGAACGCGTCTAGACCTAGATTGGACGAACAAATTTCGGCAATTTTCGAAGAACTCGCGTTTTGAGTTTTAATTTCAGATTTTTGATTTTTAAATGTTCAAAGTTTCATGGAGTTATACAATGATGGAAAATTATTTATTTTATTTTTTTGGAAAATTACGTATTTTTTTATTTATAAAACACTGCGTTGTTAAAAACAGAAATTTCACTAATTTTTGGACCCTTTTATTATTACTAAAATGTAGAGATGGGCAAGAAATCGCAAACTGCGATTCAATCGCAGCGATTTTGAAATCGCAATCGCAATCTGCGATTGGCTGTCATAAGAAACTGCGATTGTGATTTCTTCTCTTTGCGAGTTTCAATTTAGGCAACTATAGCTGCGATTTGTGATTTTATTGTGATTTGCGATTTTGTTGCGATTGTGATTTTGTAAACTGGGACCGTGATTTCTATCTGTAAGTTTGAATTTTTAGGAGTTGCGATTTGCGATATTGGTGCGAATGTAATTTTGTATGTAATTATTAATTATATTGATTATAAATAAATTGTATTGAACATAAATTTGTGTTCTATTGAAGCATGTTTATTTTATTTCTGTAAGTAAGTAAGTTTTTTTATTTTATTTACCCCCCCCCCCATGGTTCTATCTCAGGGGCCCGCTGCGAAATTCGTAATACAGGGCCCTTTCAATGCTACGCCACTGTCAAGGAGCCTTGGAAAAATATATTTTTTGATCGTCTAATGTTTTTCGTGTCTTGTCCTGGCAGGTTAAAGATGCCCAAATCGTATTTTAATCATATCTCAATTTTTTCAAATGGAACAAGGGTGGCCTATTAGCATATTTAAAAAATGCATTTTTTACGAATAATTTGGTACCACACACTTCGTATTTCGAGTAAAATTATCATTATGAACCGCATGTTACAATTTCAAATAAACCATATGCGAAAATATAAAAGTTGACATTTGATATGTCATTCTATTAAGAGTGTCATTTTCTATCGAATAAAGTAAAACGATACCAAGGGTGTCATTTAAAAATCAAAAGTTGTAGTCATTTCCGGTGAAACAGGAAGTGACCAAAAACAATTGAATACGTCAATCAATCCTAATTTATGTCATATACTAACACACCAAATTTAGTTTTTTTTATCTAAAAAAATAAAAAGTTATAGGGATGTGCCACTTGTGCCAAAGTTATAGGAGACGCACCGGGTAAAATAATAATATTTTTATTATAACGAATTAGAATATAAAATTGTATATGTTATGTCTGCTTATATGGCCTATTGAATAATATAACAGTAATATTGTTTGATGAGTAATACTGGCAACATCATCACTATATCGAGCTGATTGGAAAAATTATTGATTTACCCCTACTAACCTAAGCTAACCCCCCCCCAATTAACTAACCCCTACAAATTAATTAAACTGAAAATTCCGCACCTGTAATTTGTAACCAATCAAAACGTGTTTTTTGAGAAATCACCATGGCAACGGATAAATTTTAGTGAAATTTTTTTCCTTGTGGGCACCCAACAGCGAATTATACTGGAAATTTTTTGACGTTTATAATGACAGAATATCTTTTTGAGAGTCTGATTTTTATTTGTTTACATGATAATTTTGATACATTTCAATTACAAAGCTGAGATGAAAATTTGTAAACTGCTTCCATACGCTTGACTTCGATTTCCTAGTATTCGCGGGTGTCAACTGCTTAATCTCCTGGCGAATATTTTCTTTGCTTTCCTCACCGAAGCGAAACATTTTTTTAAGCCGTGCCGCTATGATGCCGCTTGACAGTTTCGAAACTGAAATAGTTTTTAGGTTTGGGTGTCACTTAGTTATCATAGTAACTAAATAATCAATTCGACCAAAAATCGAAAAATACATTTTAATTATTTGATTTTCAAACACAATTTAGTGTGGAATTTTCTTACTGAATACCACACGAGGTCAAATTAAATCCGGGCATTTTTCTTGCTCATGAATTTTTTTAGAAAATTATCATTCGTCTTCGACTCGGAATAATTTTCAAAATCTTCATAAGCTCGAGAAAATTTCAGGAAATAATTTGACCTCTAGTGGTATTACTAGTCAAAATTAAAAAAAAATGAAAAAAGTTTTTGAAAAATACATTTTCAGATTTTTTCGCGAAGCAAGCCTTAAAACTGACGGAAAAAGAAATAATAAAATCAACAATACCAAAATAAATAAAAAAACTAGTTCATTGCCACACAACCGTAGTACTATTACTCCTACCAACGGTGATCAAATTTCATTCAAAAAACCCACCAGTCGATGCAGAATTACATAATTTCTTCTCAGATCCGCTTGGCATGCACTGATTCTCAAAAATCCGGCACCCCTCTCAAGCCAAACACTCGGTACTACTAAATGTTTATTATATAAAGTACGGCGCCGAAAGCGGGAGTACTCAGTATTGTTTTGCCGATTTTGGCACTAAGATATAAATAAGTAATATAATTTTATTTATTTATTCATAAAGTAGTTAGTGCAGTTTGTGTTTGTTAATAAATTGTTTTAATTCTTTTTGGTAAGTTATTCTAAGTTATGATATAAATATTATAGTAAGTAGCACACGATAAAAGAAGAACAATCATGCCAAAAAAATTTTACGCAAATTTCATCATTTTAAATAAAACTAGCTATACAGGGTGAGTCTTAAAAAAGTGCAAATACTTTTAAGGGTAGTATATTTCGACCCCAGAAACACCTCTATGAGCTTTTTTTCGCGAAAATAGAATTTTTTAAGAAAAATTTGGATTTGCATTCTACATGTATTTGTTAACACAATTTCTGTAAAATATACCGGGAGCGTCTCAAAAGCGGCTCACCCCTGTAACTTTTTTATTTTTTCAGATAAAACAACGATATTTGGTATGTTAGTATATGACATAAATTGGGATTGATTGACCTATTCAATTGTTTTCGGTCACTTCCGGTTTCACCGGAAATTACTACAACGTTTGATTTTTAAATGGCACCCTCGGTATTTTTTTACTTTATTCGATAGAAAATGACACTCTGAATCGAATGACATATCATCTGTCAACTTTTGACATTTTGACATATGGTTTATTTGAAATTGTAACATGCGGTTTATAATGACAATTTAACTCAAAATACCAAATATGTGCCAACTATGTGGTATCAAATTATTCGTAAAAAATGCTTTTTCTAAATATGCTAATGAGCCACCATCGTTCCATTTGAAATAATTGAGATATGATTAAAAATACGATTTGGGCATCTTTTAACCGGCCAGGATAAGACACTAAAAATATTAGACGATCAAATCTATTTTTCCAAGGCTCCTTGAATAAAAATTAATGTTTTTAACACAGCCATGGCAATCTAGATTGAAATTTAAAATAGAATTTGTTTTTGAGTGACTATGTCAAAAATTGACATATGATATGTCATTGGATTCAGAGTGTCATTTTCTATCGAATAAAGTAAAAACATACCGAGGGTTCCATTTAAAAATCAAAAGTTGTAGTCATTTCCGGTGAAACCGGAAGTGACCGAAAACAATTGAATACGTCAATCAATCCCAATTTATGTCATATACTAACATACCAAATCTCGTTGTTTTATCTGAAAAAATAAAAAAGTTATAGGGGGTGAGCCACTTTTGAGACGCCTAAGTTTATCAGTATTTGAAATAGTGTGAAAAACAGACATTTTCAGAAAATTAAACATTTTTGGGCATTGATACATTTTTTGGGAGATTTATACTGTACCAATACCGCCTAGATTAAGAAGGTCCCGAAACTTGAAGTGTGACGTCACCTTGTTAGGCAATTAGATGCACATTGCTTAAAGATTTTTTGGCTATATTTTGCTATTTTTTCCAATTACCTTTTCTGTAATGGTAGTTATTCTAAGGGCTGGCAAAGGTTAGTCTTGGGTCGAGATTTCCGTATGTACTCTTCTTAGTACAATGCGTTTATAATGTACTGAACAAAGAGAGGACAGTAAACACGTTGCCAAACGTATCAAATAAACCGAGAAACTGTGCACATCGCTAAGAGACGTGGAAGGGGATATAGCAGATTTGTAGCAGTTGACCGGTCGACCCAATCAATACCTCTGTCAATACTTAATGTTCTAGGGAAAGGTGTACGTCATGCGTTCAGCTTCACGATTTAATTACGTCTCGTGATACTTAATTTGTTTATTTATTAACGAGTCGTTGTAATTTTCCCTATAGCTTGAATTTTTTTAAGTGCAAGCTAGAAACACTTGCATTTTTGGTAAAAATAAATGGAACTGAGTGGGTGTTCGATAGTGGTCGCGCTATTAGAACTCTGAATTCAAAAATCGATATCTCGAAATCTATTAGAAATAATAGATTGTAGTTTTTTCAAGAACTTTGTTAATATTTCTGCTGTATTTTCTTTGTAGACAGTATGTGAAAATCTTTATCAATAAAAAAATTACACGATTGCTGAAAATTGCTATGCTCTAAAAGTAAATGGATGGATTGTTTACAATTGTTGAATGGAAAAACTAACCTTATCGAATTTTTCTTATGTAAACATATTGTAAAATATCCGATCTTGAAAATAAAAGAAAGTTTCAATATCTAAAGTGGTTCTTGAGTTATGGCCTGTTATGTGTTAAAAAGTCGAGTTTTTAAATAATCGCGATTACTGACGTTTTCTCGTTATAAAAAAATGACACCCTAACGATATCCTTATAATTCCATTTCAGATGCTCAGAAACATGTCTAATAATTTTATCTAGTTGTCTCTTGAAAAAAAAGTCTTTTAAAAATAATCGATTTGCGTTCGTGATTTAACTTTACTTGATAAGGAAAGGCGTATCGGCAACGCCGCAACAGCACACCGTCGCACGTCGCGTCGGTCGGTCGCATTTCTCTCACTCCGACTTAATAAGATCCCTATGCGATTTACTTGCACACATGTAAATGCCGACCCAAAAGTAACAATTGCCAGCACGGTATAACCTAGGTGGCGTTAACTTCTGTTTCGTACCTTGGTCAGAGTTTTTAGGGTTCCGTACTCAAAGGGTAAAACCGGAAACCCAATTACTAAGACTTGTCCTGTCCGTCCTTGTGAACGCCACTGAATTCTACGCAAAAAACTCTATGGGTTTTCAACTTTTGGATAAGTTATAAGATAACCGAGATATGAGAGAAGTTGAAAAATGTAACAGTTCCAAATTCGCCTTGTATTTCAGGAACTGATTGAGGCTGGAATAAATCTGTGTGTAGCTTTAGTTTCATAAAAAAAGTACTACAGTGAGCCATAAATGAAAAACCCTGTAAAGCACACGAAAATGGAACAACCTGTACAAAATAAATCGAAAAAATTGCTATAAATACCGATATAATCCTTAGAGAACTGTATGGTGCTGTATATGCTCGACATAGTCAGTTACAGAAATGATGACTAAACTCTTGAGCTGTACTTGAATCCATCCTTCTTAAAGAAAGTGACTGAAATAAGCGTGGGGTTGGTATATTAACGAAAGTTAGAGAGAGGAATTTGGCAGTAGAGTGTTTTTCGTGTGCGAGTTTATTTTGATTTTTTATGAAAATAAATTAGAGTTTTACATGTAAGTCATGCAATACTATATTATCATACTCAATTATACAGTTATCAGAATCAACTTATTAAGTTATTTAACTTTTTTTTAATTAACTATACTATAACTAACTAAAATAAAAAAGCAAATTATTTGATTTAAATGAAAACGGAGGTCTATTAGTTTGATACTGGCAAAACCAAATAAGAAAAAAAAGCAAATCAAATAATACACAGTATGTTCCTGGAAAAAGAACGCATCTTCATAAAAAACAGCTTGTTCTAAAATGGTTAATCCCGTTTATACTTTTCTAAATTTCCATACCGTTTTAGAGAAAAATTTAAAAAAAAACATGAAAATTATATTTGAATTTCTTCTAAAAAATAATTCTAAATAATAATTTTTGATTTTATAGAAAACAATGTTCATTAAAATGTTGTATCCTATGTTATAGGGCTTGTTTCTCTCTGCAATTTCCTGTTTCACAATGTACTGTTTGTGTCCGGGAAGGGTTCATAGTTTCATAGTTTTTGATTTTCGAAAGAAATCAGTACATGTATATTATTTCGTATATTTTTCATTTTATTGATTTTATGGAAAGCACTGTTCATTAAAATGTTGTATCCTATGTTATAGGGCTTGTTTCTCTCTACAATTTCCTCTTTCACAATGTACCGTTTGTGTCCGGGAAGGGTTAATAGTTTCATAGTTGTCGATTTTCGAAAGAAATCAGTACATGTATATTATTTCGTATATTTTTCATTTTATTGATTTTATGGTAAGCACTGTTCATTAAAATGTTGTATCCTATGTTATAGGGCTTGTTTCTCTCTACAATTTCCTGTTTCACAATGTACCGTTTGTGTCCGGGAAGGGTTCATAGTTTCATAGTTGTCGATTTTTGAAAGAAATCAGTACATGTATATTATTTCGTATATTTTTTATTTTGTTGATTTTATGGAAAGTACTGTTCATTAAAATGTTGTATCCTATGTTATAGGGCTTGTTTCTCTCTACAATTTCCTGTTTCACAATGTACCGTTTGTGTCCGGGACGGGATCACAGTTTCATAGTTGTCGATTTTCGAAAGAAATCAGTACATGTATATTATTTCGTATATTTTTCATTTTATTGATTTTATGGAAAGCACTGTTCATTAAAATGTTGTATCCTATGTTATAGGGCTTGTTTCTCTCTACAATTTCCTGTCTCACAATGTACTGTTTGTGTCCGGGAAGGGTTCATAGTTTCATAGTTTTCGATTTTCGAAAGAAATCAGTATATGTATATAATTTCGTATATTTTTCATTTTATTGATTTTATGGAAAGCACTGTTCGTTAAAATGTTGTATCCTATGTTATAGGGCTTGTTTCTCTCTACAATTTCCTGTTTCACAATGTACCGTTTGTGTCCGGGAAGGGTTCATAGTTTCATAGTTGTCGATTTTCGAAAGAAATCAGTACATGTATTTAGTTCAATGCTACGGAAATGGAGATAGTAGTTATCAGAAAATGTGATACTTTAACAACGGCAAAAAATATGACTTTAATCAAAATTAATAATAACCATCTATCAAAGAATGATATCGAAATTGTATTACTTGATATTACAATAGAAACACGTCTTGATTTTTAGGACTTTTTAGAATAAATTCAACCATATATATTTTCATGTTTTCTTTTTAATTTTCAACAATCTATAACAAGCAAACATTTTTATGAAAAATGCATGAAGTTTTTTGAAAAACAATTTTTTTTTGATCAGTCATTATGCCGGTATGATGTCCGTCCCCGAGATTTGTCCATCAAATGGTCCGTCATTCAGCAATGTTTGTCAATTAAATTCAATGAATTCAAAATTATGTTACCGTAGAAAAAAAGTGGAAGCAAAATGATACTAAATAGATATAAAATGAATGGAGGTTTCACAGCATTTTTCTTTGGAAACAATTTCCAACTTTAATAAAGCTTATAAAGAAAAGGTATTTACAGTTGTCAATAAGTTGTAGTCCAAGTCCGTCAATATGTAATTTTTCGTATACGCTTCACAAGTAAACGTAAAAGGTAAAATAAAATAATTTACACACTTATTATTTTTATCTAAGATACAATTTTCCATTGTATGTAAATAACTGAAGCAAAACAAGAAAGAAAGGACGATACTGGGTTAGAGTGAAAGTAATTTTATCTGAAATATCAACTAAAAACACCATTTCTTTTGGTTGAAATTTAATTACAAGTTATATAGATTGGAAAATTGAAATTTCAACATGTATATGCAATTTATTGCCTGTTTTCTGAAAGAAAAGAAAATATATTCACCCACTATGGTTTTTATATAATAATTATCACAATTAGCACCTCAAATTTCTATCATTTAATGTGATTATAACATGTATTTCACAGTGAATATAAACATAGCAAATCTTATGTAAATGTTTCATGATTAAATAATAGAATAGATATACAGGGTGATTCACGATATTCGAGGCGAGATTATTATAGCTAAATAATAAGATTTTTAAAAATGTTGAAGTGAGAGTTTAAAAAAGTAAGAAATCAAAAGTGTATTGTTTTATAAGCTAAATATTAGGGTTTCTCTATGGATAGAGATATTAAGATTAATTGTATTTTTGTATTTTAATTGTATTTTTTAGATATTGTGAATGATCGTAAACTGAAAAGTATACATTCAATATTAAATTTTGCAATAGCTGATCCGGTCACAACCAGTCGCCCACCAAAATGTCCGTTTTAAGCAAACAAACGCGAAAAAAGTGAAATTGGTGAAAATCGCTCATGAAAACTTTTCAAATTTGACGCCCTGTTGTTTCATTAATCCTATTCATTTTTGTTTTGGTCATTGGCGTAGGCGTATTATTATTATGAGAGGAAATAATTGCCACGAAAAAGTAGCACGTTAACCTTGAGTCTTACTCTCACTTTCTTCCAATCGTGATGCTTTCTACACATCAATATTCGCGAAGAAGACGCGATTCCTTGGTTTTGATGATGTCATACCATGGTATAAGCACGTACTTTGTTATTCTATAGCTCGAGGTCCTTATTTTAGATTATGTGGACACTCGATTTTTATGTAATACAATTATCGATTGATTATACCATACGAAGAAAAAAAAAGGCGTCAAAGACGGCTGGGGAATGACAATCAATGAAAATTTTGGGAAGGTCAAGGCCTAGACGTAAATTACTGGGCCCTCTTTTTTATTTTTTAAGGGCACTTACCGCCAGTTACCTTTGAAACGTCAAACAAAACTGTCAAACTTAGCATCCTAGCATAGATAAAAGAAAATAATCTACTATTAAGATAAGATAGATATGAAACTTAATAGTAAAATTTTGGGTTAAAGTGCCCCTCCGTGTTTTAAGTAGAGACTACGTTTTACCCAGCGCCTTCGCCTTTTCTGCTGTAAATGTTTTTTATGTTTATATTTGAAATCAAAGGATTTATTTTTAAAGTTACACTGATATATTAGTATATCAGGGTAACTTTAATAAAACATAAGAATATATATATTTTACAGTTTATTTTTTTATTTATTTTACAGAGTTTCATGTAAATGATCGTAAGTCAACGTAAGTCGAACTAAGTCGACTGGCTGTCTAATGAATAGACCGAGATTTATAGATTTTAAAGTGAATGAAAAAAAAAATCAAACAACGAATACATACCATATATTTTTCTTTTATCTAAGATACATACCTTATCGTCTTTTGGAAACACGTGCATTTTTGCAGTTTCGTTAGTTTCTTTGCAAGATGCAACACAACAAGAAAACACCATTTTTACAGTTAATAAATAATAAAACTATTTCTGACTATGATATTTAAAATTTTGATAGATAGAAAATTAAATAACAAACCGGTACTTGCTAGTGATGGGTTGTTATTTAACTATCTGTTATTTTATAACAATTATTTAGAAATAACATAACGCAACCGTTACTGCTTTTAAAAAATAACAGATATAAAATAACGACACGCAGAGATCGAGTGTTCGTGAAACGAAGTCGGCGCTCTGCACCGCCACGAAATTCGATGCTGCTCGAAACAATTCCAAAAACCAACTAGTATGGATGGAAAACCTATTATTTCGACAACCATCGATACAGGCGGCGAGATACAACGGACAACGGAGTGGGGTATGCGCTACGGCGCGGCGCGTCGTGTTGGGCTGACAACAGCTTAAAAATAATAGGATATAAAAGAAGCAGCTTTTTTGAAACAGTTGCGGGCATAACGCCTGGCTGTCGAGATAACAGGAGTGGGAAATGAGCGCTGCTGCATCGATCGATTGTCGATGGAGGCTCGCAACGGGTTGGAGAATAACGCATCAGTTGTTTTAGCTATGTTGTTTTTTTACCTGTTACGAGCATAACAGAACGGCGTTCGAGATAATCGGAGGTTTGAAACAGGTTGGAGAATAACGCGTCAGTTGTTTTAGATACATATTGTTTTTCAACCTGTTACGAGCATAACGGGCGGAGGTCGAGATATTATGGCGCTGTATGTTTCAAATACTTTGTTATTAAGTTTCAATATTTAAGTATTTATTTATTCTAAAAAATTTTCAGAATAATATTTTAAGATTTTTAAAATGTATACAGGGTGTTTTGAAAAAAATCTGGTCATTGATTAATCACGATCCTGCTTAAAGCCCTTGACGTAAAAAGCTGATTTTTGGAAAACGGATTGACTTTAGGTGTAGAGGTGCGATAAGAAGGGATTTTTCGAAACTCAAATTCTAAGGGGTGAAACCACCCTCAAATATTAGAATATTTTTATTTAAAAACTGGTGAGTTTTCGAAAAACTCTTAAACACGTATATTTTATTTTGTTGTTTTACATATTTTGAGATTTTTACAAAATATATACAGCGTGTTTCATGAAATATGACCACTGAGTAATCACTATTCTGCTTAAACTGCTTGACGTTTAAAGCTGATTTTTGGTAAACGGATTGACTGTGGGGTGTAGAGGTGCGATAAGGAGGGGTTTCTCAAATCTCAAATTCCAAGAGGGTGAAAACGCCCCTCAAATATTACAATATTTATTATTTAAAAAACGGTTAGTCTTTCGGGAAAATGATTGGACACGTATAATTTATTTTGTTTTTATATATTTTGAAATTTTTTAAAAAATAATACAGGGTGTTCCAAAAGTTGAGTAATTGATTAACTACGATTCTGCTTAAACTTCTCGACGTTTAAAAGCATATTTTTGGCAAATGTGAGAAAATTTTATCCAGTTTGTATGTTAGAAGAGGAGGCGTAGGTAGATCGGAATTTATAGATATAGACAGTGGCGGTATTTTTGCTTTTTTATATCGCAATTTGTAAACAGCGCTTATTTGTAAACAACCCCGTTTTTAGAGACGTATTTTAGATAACAATCGATATTTAGAAATGTTATGACACCCTGGAAATACTACCACCGAGCATGTCATTGTTGCAACTGCGTTAATACGCCTGGCGGTGACCGCCTCATATTCTTTCAGATATTTAGCAATAAAATAAAGAAACCTGTTATTTTTAAGCTGTTATTTTAAGCTGTTTTTTATAAATAACTATAACAGTTTCAACTGTTATCTAAAAATAACAGTTTTGCCCATCACTAGTACTTGCAGACGCAGGCCCAAATTCAATAAAAATCAAAGTTTTTCCTGCGAAAATCGGGCTTATTTCAATGACACAATTCACTGAAAAGGTATTTTTTGATTTATCAGCAATCATTGGCAAGTTGACAATATACAGGGTATTTTCTAATTAGTCTAAAAAAATTGTGTTGTGATTCCTCATGTGTTCTTTAAACAATTTTTATATAACTATTGGGTCTACGAGTACTTCCTTTCTGATCTACAGACTGTTAAAAATTTTAAAAAAAATCGATTTTTTTTGCTTAACATAAATGGTACACCACTGCTTTTTTAAAGAAAATATATTTTTCTTGACTGGCCATCCTTTTTCACCAAGATTGATCTTTTGAGTTTTTCTTGCTCATCAAACGGTTGTCGAGAAAAAAATAAATATACTTATTAAGAGCCCGCCTTAATCCGTTTTCTAACGATTTTTTATTTTTTAGATTAATTAGGAAACACCCTTTATATGCATATCACAGACAACCAAATAAACTAGTAACCTCTAAAAATTATTTTTCCTACCACTAGCGACATACCGTGTTTTTAGTGTGTACTAAATTATTTTATCAAAATTTCACCATTTAATTTTCCAGGCAATGGCATACTAGTCAAATCTATTTTCCCCTTTGTGTTCATACAAATACCATACGATCGAAAAAAAAACGTCGTCAAAGTAAGCTTGGAAATGAACATCGCTGTCATTTTATATGTAAAATTATATGGTAAATCTTATCGGATGTTATTTTCAAGCAAACTTGGCACCGCTTTTTTTTAAATTATAGGGTATTAAATAGATATCAATACTACCATAACTTTCTCTTAAAATTTTATACATTTTATAACCTATGTTTCATTGAAGAAATTAGAAACTAAGCCTATTTTTCCTAAATAAATACTATTACTAAATAAATAGAGGATGATCTTAAATAAATGCACAAAGATTTTGTCTTTAAATTTTCAGAAACAGTAGATTTTTTTCTGTATTTTCATTCCTTTAAATTTATATACTTCCAATGTTACCGTATTATCAAGATATTTTTTAACTACAAATTAAGAAAAATCTTTTTTTTAATTACAAAATGTTCAACTTTTTTTTACGCAAATGTCTCATAGACATGTTCATGGGATCGAAATATACCACCCCTAAATATGTGCATATTTAAGACCCTGTATAGTCTATTTTATCAAATTTATTCTTTTTTTGTTTTTTCGTTACAGAATAATGAAGACTGTCTTAGCCCCCTGGGTCATATTATTATTTTACGCCTGTACCACATCAGCACAAGAAAGATCATGGTCATGGAACGATCAAAACAAAAACAACCAGCCTCTTACAGACGAATCCATCGACTTAACACCAGCAGAAAGCGTGAATGTACAACAAAGCAGTCAACTGAACAGCACTGATGCAGAAAAGGTACCTGAATTCACCGTAAAATATCTTAATTAGTTAACTACACCTTAGATCATGTAACAAATAGATAAGTCCTTTCCTTAAAAGGTTGTTGTCATAGATAAAAGACTTACAATATTAAATAGATAGGCAACTTATAATACATTTCAATTTTATTATACAAGGGCACCTCTGGTAGTCGGAGGAAGAAATACTAAGGGAAGAGAGGGGTGCAGGGAAGGAGGGTTGTTTTAATTAATTTAAAATAAATTTAAACATACATGTAAGAATACTTTATGTGCTTTTAATTAGGTCGAACATGGTATAAACGATAAATCAACTTAATTAAAAGCATACAAAGTGTTCTTATATATCGGATATTAATTAAAAAAATATTAAAAAGACGTAATAGTATATATTAAGTTCTTACAGTTATAATTTAATCTTTGGCGGTTTTCAGCAAATAGCAGGCAGTTTTACATAATTTTCCTCCCTTTGAAGTGAATTGGAAACGGCTATATAATTTTGGTGTAGGCAAGATTCCCAGTTTGTTTCCGTTTGAGACCTCAAATAATAAAAACAAATTAAATCAGATTTAATCATCTGCTGATCATGCTAATATAACGCAACGCGCGTCCTTAATTCCTTACATGCACCGTAAAAAAATAAATAACTGTTCAGCAAGTAGCATTTATTAGCAGTGCTAATTAAAAAAATCTATAACTGTAAGTAGATATATTTTATTTACTTACCATTGTATCCTTCGGAAACCCGGTGTACAACAATTAAACTCCATGATAAAAAATAACTAGAGTCTATACAAAACACAAATTGTCCTACCATTTTTAAAAAAACATTGCCTAAAACAGAATACTGCCAAAAAATCTGAAGGAATTTAATTTTACAATAATTCGACATATCAAAACGAAATCAAACTATAAAATCACAACTGATCACAACAAAAGCGTCTCTGAGTGTCTCGTGTCAGTTAAAAATCAAATTTTATTATTGTCAGACTTGGACATTTGCATTGTTGATTGACAGTTTTAATATTTTGCGCCTCTGCATCTTGGAGGAAAAACTATTTTTAATGAACTGTCATTTCCATTTAAGTTTCCCAGCCATGGTTGATGTCAACATTAACCGCGATCGTGTCTCTCGACTTCTTCTTAAAGTGCCGTGCAGATTCCTGCGTAGTCGTTCGTCTTTTTCTTCCTCATCAGATGGTTCTATTAACTGCAGCGACTTGGAGTGCTTGGAAGTCCTGTATGCCTGTCCAATGACGAATATTTCTCAGCCAGGATAGCTTCCTTCGGCCTATTCCCCTTTCGCCCCCCTCTATTTTACGTTATATAAGTATAGCGTTCTCCACGTAGTATGTGTCCCAAATAGGCTATATTTTCCTCTTCTTGATGATTTCGAAGAGTTCACGTTCTTCTAGACCAGCTCTTCTGAGAATGTCTTCATTACTCACGCGGTCGACCCAGAGCACTTTTAGCATTCGTCGTAGGGTCCACATTTCGAAGGCTTCAATTCGGTTTATTGTTGCTACCTTCAGTGTCCATGCTTCCACACCATATAATAAAACGGACCAGACATAGCACTTCACCATTCTGTATCTAAGGCCGAAGTTCAAGTTCCTATCTGTAAGAAATCTTCGCAGTCTCAGAAAAGTAGATCTTGCTTATTCGATCCTAAAATATACAGGGCATTCCATTTAAATTAAAGAAGTTATTGCCGTTTGAAGCTAATAGTTATTTAAAATAAATTTTTAGACACTCTGTATAAGGTAATATTATTTTTATTATTGCAACACAATAACTGATCAATAAATAAACTTCATTAAATATTTAGTATTAAAAACATTGATACCCTTGGAGAAATGAAGCTTTAAAATTTTTACTGCAATTTCACAAAATTGAAAATATTTCAAAAACGGTGAGGTTTAAGTATAATAAACCTCTATTTTAATCGTAGAAACTAAAAATGTAATAATATACAGGGTGTTCCATTTAAAAAAATACAACTTTGATATTTTTTATTTATTTGGGACACTCTGTATCTTGTAAAAATATTTTTAAATTGTAGCTCTATTAGTCCTTCAACGAACCCCAAACTTACAATTTGTAAAAATCTCATAGATTAGCTACAATACTCCGTGTCGTATGTGGTGAACAACCCTGTAGATTTTAGAATTAACCCAACAAGTTCGTTTGTAGAACGTCAAAACTAGTGGTAGTAATTAGATAAAGACAACGTTTAGTAAGATATCTTTTAAATAGCAAAGACAAGCTCACGACCACACAGAAAGCGTTTTTTGTGTTTTTAGCGTGAAGCGTCTTTAGCGACTAAAACAAAATAACAGGATTATATAGGAGCGGCCACACCAAAAGCGTGTAGCGTTCGGCGTGTCTCGCAAAAAACGCAAATGAAAACAAATCAGTTTGTTTTCTGTAGCGTCTTTAGCGTTTTCTAAGATGAGATCCCGTCATAGGCGGATGTTATATTTAATAATACAATAAAAATAAATTAAATAGTATGCATCTTTTTTGATTTTAGGGTATTATCTAACTAATTTGAAGGAAATGTTTGAAAAAGTGTAGTTTGAAATTTTGAAAAAGTAATAAATTAAAGGAATATTTTCTTACGCGTAAAAATAGTTTTTTATGCGTAAAAAGTGTTTTTTTCTGCGTAAATAAGGTTTTTTAACAGAAACAAATAGTTTTTGACACGTAAAAATAGTTGTTTCCATGTAACCAATAGTTTTTTACACGTAAAAAATATTTTTTTTGCGTAACAAAAGGTTTTTTACCATAAACAATAAGCGTAAAAAAATATTTTTTTACGTGTAACAAATAGTTTTTTTCACGTAAAAAAATTTTTTTTTAGTAAAAAGTTTTTTTACCAGAAACAATAAGTTTTTGACGCGTAAAATTTAGTTTTTTGCGTGTAACAAATAGTTTTTTACGTGTAGCAAATAGTTTTTTACACGTAAAAAATATTTTTTTTTGCGTAAGAAAGGTTTTCTAACAGAAACATTAAGTTTTTGACGCGTAAAAATTAGTATTTTACGTGTAACAAATAGATTTTTACACGTAACAAATAGATCTATATGCGTAAAAAATAGTATAGTTTTCTGCCAATAACAAATAGTTTTATACGCGTAAAAATAGTTTTTTACGTGTAACAGTTTTATTCGCGTAAAATAATAAAAATTGTTTTTTACGTGTAACAAATGTTTTTTTTATACGTAATAATTTGATTCACTTTTACAAAATTTGTATTAAAATATCAATATTTTTGATAAACACGTGGACTACTCACAAATACACGTCGCGTCACTACGTATTTCTAAGCCGTTAACACGTTTCGTTATAACGAGCACGGGTGTCAGAGCCGTCTCACTAGCTCGTATGTCACAGCCTTGAATTTTTACTCCCAGCGCGCGTAAAGAAGTTTCACCCCAAAATGTTTCATAAATCATGTCCTAAAATTGCATTAGCAACTATAAATATTTACTATTCTATTATATAATTATAATTATAATTATAATTATTTATTATATTATAATTATTATAACAAGTACTACTAACCACAACACTACAACATAAAAAAACTATACACATATAAATTAAAATTCGTAAAATAAATGGCAAATAATAATTATTATTTTTACACACACCACTGGCACTAGCAGTAGATTGTGTTTGTCTCCGAATATATGACCCGGCCCGTCCACAATTCAATCCCAGCATCTTTTATCTTCGTCTCTTCAACGCTAACGGCGCCGATCTCGCGTATCCCTTTCTCACAGGATTGATTGTTGGACGGGCCCGGAATCCACGAGCTTGAGACGTTACTAATTGACATCTTGATAGAAACTGCAGACCTGCCGCGTCTTTTGCGTGTTTTTAATAGACACAAATTGAAAAAAGCGCTTAAAACGGTAAAATCGCAAAAAGCAAGCGCTAAAAACGCAAAAAACGCAAAACGCTAAAAACGCTTTCTGTGTGACCGTGGGCTTAAAGTTTGAAACTTAGCAAGCATGTGTAAGCTTGCACAGCAGAACATTTTTTTCGAAGCTTATTAATCACTCTGTATATTATTATAGGTTATCGAGGACATTCTAGTGTCCACTAGACAAGGTCGAGCCCTCCAAGGCTACGACGAGGTCTACAGCGACCCAAACGTCCAGGAAGTGCTCCAAAAAGGTGATGAAGGCGAAGCCAGGAACATCATCAAAGACAGGTTATGTTACCTGGGCCTCGTGCAATGCGACGAGGAAATCGAAGGTAAAAGACCCTACATCACGCCGGAAGAACTCATCTACGCCCAGCCAGTCGCCATCAACCCTGTAGGTCGTCCTATCCCCACCATTCCAGTCAAGGGTGTCAAAGGAGGGTATGGTCCACCTAAACCAGTTGGTATTCCTCATGGTACGAAATTTGGTCCTCCGCCACAAGGTTTGGGACAGTACCCTGGAGGCAAGTACCCCCCTCCTGGATTTTCGGTGAATAAACCTCCTAGAAGAGGTTATGGACCTGTACCTGGTGTTAACAATTTGGGAGGCAGCAAACCTCCATACTATGGTGGCATTGGAGGTCCTGTGAATAAACCTCCATTTTTAGCGGGTAAGGAAACATCAAATAATTGATTAGAAGTAATAAAAAAATGAATTTTATTAAATCTAATAAGTTATTCAGTTAATCTCGTTTTTTGCAACGGCTGTTAAGCTGCTTCGGTATCTTGTACACTTCGCATTACAAGATGTTCTAAAAAGAACAATTTTCGACTGCAAGGTCTGCCAATACAACATTTTAAGCTAAAATATCACAACACAATTCACTTCAACCAAAAACTCGTAATACAAAACTTAACTGCCAAAGCTAATCAAAATATCAGTAAATAAATATGGCAACTAGGCATTTTTTACAACAGAGCTACTGCCTAAATCGCCAGCGGGAAATTTACATTATACAGGGTGGTCCGAACTGTATTTCGGAAACTTCTCCAACATATTCTGCAGATCAAAATAAGTAAAAAAGTTTGTATAAATATATGCCCTAAAATGCTTAGTTTCGGAGATACAGGGTGTAGAAGTTTCATTTTTATGAAAAAGTTTTATTTTTACTTTATTTTGCTTTTCTATTTAAACATTTTTTACGTAAAAAATCACGGAAATGTATATTTTTTCACTAAGTAGTTTTATACAGGTACGGACGAGAAGTTATTACTCTTCAAACCAGTGAAAAAGTTAAGTATGTGGCGCCCTCTACAAGTAGGAGTCATATTGACATGCGAAGAACATGCGATGAATCAAATTTCTCATGTCGAGGAAATTGAACCAAACCAATCCAAACTCCCAGACCTCCATTTTCATCCAAATATTAACGTTACTTCAGAAATAATTTGAAAAAAATCGAAATAAAAATGAAACTTATACACCCTGTATTTCCGAAACTAAGCATTTTAGGACATACATTTATAAGATTTTTTTTTTTTATTTTTATCTGCAAAATATGCTGCCAAAGTTTCCGGAATAGAGTTCGGACCTACAGGGTGTCCTAGAAATAAGTGCAATTATTTGAAAGGGTGGAGGATCTCGATAAAAGAAACATATTTTCTCTTTATCGTTTTTCAAATAGGTCCAAAACAACGAAATTATTTTACTTTGAAAATTTACAAAAAAAAACGATTTTTTGCTAAAATTTTGAGAACCACTGGATCTTTTCTGGATTTTCTTTCTTGTAAATTTAATCTAATACCTATGTTGCCATATTATCAAGAAATTATGATTTTTAACTAAAAACTAAAAAAAAATTCCAAAAAAATTTTCAAAAAATATCGAATTTGTACTAGTAATACCACTAGAGGTCAAATTATTTCCGGAAATGTTTTCGAGCTCATGAATATTTTGAAAATTATATTATAATTTTCTAAAAATATTCATGAGCGAGAAAAAATGTCGGGATTTAATTTGACCTCGTGTGGTAAGAAAATTCCACACCAAATTGTGTTTGAAAATCAAATAATTAAAAAGTATTTTTTGATTTTTGGTCGAATTGATTATTTAGTTACTATGACAACTAAGTGACACCCAAACCTAAAAACTATTTTCAATTTTGAAGCTGTCAAGCGGCACGGCTTAAAAAAAATGTTTCGCTTCGGTCATGAAAGCAAAGAAAATATTCGCCGGGAGATTAAGCAGTTGACACCCGCGAATACTAGGAAATCGAAGTCAAGCGTATGGAAGTAGCTTACAAACTTTCATCTCAGCTTTGTAATTGAAATGTATCAACATTATCATGTAAAGAAATAAAAACCAAACTCTCAAAAAGATATTCTGTCATTATAAACGTCAAAAAATTTCCAGTATAATCCGCTGTTGGGTGCCCACAAGAAAAAAAAATTTACTAAAATTTATCCGTTGCCATGGTGATTTGTCAAAAAAACACGTTTTGATTGGTTAAAAATTACAGGTGTGGAATTTTCAAAAAAAATTGTTCGCGAAAAAACCTCATAGGCGTGTAACTAAAAGTTTATTTGGTATAGATAGTATTATTATTATTTCAGATGGAGAAATTCTTGCAGAAGGTGAATTTTTGGACAAGCCTCCCAGTTTGGACTACTTCAACAAACCAGGAAGTACCGGTTCTCTATCAGGTGCACCGTACCAGTTTGACTCAATAGCACATGCCAGTGCTAGCTCGCACAAAGATAAAAGAGTTGAAATTACCGTTAATGCTCAAGGAGGTCTGGCCAACTCTGGCAACAAGGGTCAGGTTGAGCACGTGCATCATCACTATCATCACAACGCCGACGGACTCAACAAAGCTCCTACTGGTAATTAGACAAAATATCACAATAATTTATAGTCTAGGGTCCACTCTACATATGAGTGGAATTATTTAAGTGCTTTGCAACTTTCTGTGTTGCTTTTTAAGTCATAAGTCAAATTCAACATAAAGTTCAAATGATTTAAGCTTAATACACCCTTAAATCAAAAACAGACTTAAGTTTTCTGTGAGCTTGCAGCTCTGGAAGAATCTATCACTTTTTTTCACTATTGATGATCAGCAAATATTCTTCTTGACTTGCAGTTGTAGTTAACCCGATTCCTGTAGCAGCAGCCGCCGTTTCAACATCACTGAACTCTCTCAACCAAGCAAGCGCCTTCTCGTCAAGCTCATCCGCCTTGAACACCAACGGGTTCATTCCAACTGGAACAGGCAGTCTTCCACTGGGATCCAGTGGATCCAGTTTCGGTCCAACTATCGGTGGACTTAGCTCAGCATCGTACGGAGGACAAACTTTGGCAAATTACGGATCCTCGTCAGGTTTCAGCAGTGCTGTCAAGCCCATTACCGAAAATTACGGTTCTGGACCCTCTTTTGGATCTTCCGGAGGTCTGGGTTCATTTGGATCTTCTTCCTCCTTTGGAACAGGGTCGAACTACTACGATAACGGACTTTACAAGAAAGAACTGAACGTGAACTCGGGAAACAGCAACTATCTACAGTCGAATTATGCAGATAAATATTTGGGTGTCGAATCAGCCAGGTACAGTAGCAAAATATTATTGTTTTATTCATAAATTTAACCAGTTTTAAATCACACGGTGTAATTTTATAATTTACCGTCAACGGTTATTCTTATATCACAATTACAAAGTATTTTTAGCATTAGTTTTTTAGTTAATTGAAATTTCATTTGCAGAGCTGAAAACTACGATTGCGTCTGCGTACCGTACGACCAGTGTCCCACCCATGACGTCATCGGTAGAAAAGACGACTTGTTCCTGGCTCTGGATCCTAGAAACCTCAAGACTGACATCGAAGCTGTGGCGGATAACGAAGAAACCAGAGTTATCACTGATGGAAATGGCAACATGACTGTTGTAAGTGTTTCATAAAGATAAAATAAGTTGTGTCCAACGAGTCGGGAAAGATTTCGACAGTGGACATCCAAAAAATGACAGAAAATTCAATTTAGTTGTAAATTAAAATGATAACATAATAGCTATAAAATATATTCTTTCTATACCATAAAACTTCTGTGTTCTAGATAAGAGTACCCAAAGAAGCTACTAGCAATGCCACTGAAGATACTAGTGAAGAAGAAAAGAAGATATCCAAAAGAGAAGCACCATTAGAAAAAAATACAGAAGAAAAAGAAGAAAAAGATCACAATATCGAAGGGGTAAGTACCATAACTATATTACACCTCACTTCACAAATCAAAAATAATACACTAAAACAATTAACTAAAACTAATTGGACTAATAAGTAACTACAGAGATAATATAACATCAAATATGGATAAAAGTAACTCGGACAAACAGTTAATATGTCTAGTCTGATAAATTAATGTTGTTTGAATTTTTTTAAACTCTACTTTTATAGTTTTAACGTTACTAGTTGTTAAAGTTGAACTAATTTGACAACTATGTTGGCAACCGTAATATTATTTCAGAGAGACATGAATTCCCCATTGAATATCTTAATAATATACTGGGTGGTTCGTTTAAAATAAAAGAGTAGGTTACCTTTAAAGGTGACCAATGTTCAATATTAATTTTGCCTCACCCCGTATAACTTTTTAGGTCAAGTTTTAACTTAATTTAAAGTACAATAGTTATTTTAACTACATATTAGACTATACCGGGTAAATTCCAATTTAGGTAGCTTTTATTAAAATTCAAAAACTGTTGTTCATTTTTTAAAAATGTTAAACATGTTCTCCTTGGAGCTTTTACGTCGTATGAGAGGTACCACCCTGTATATTTATAAACAATAATATTAGACTCCCTCCTTAGTTTTTTTATTCAGTGGCTAGAACTGAAATGATACTTCTACTTATATTAAAAATTACGTTATTTTGATCCAATCAAGCTCTTTACTTCAAAAGATTGTACGTACCTATTCAAAATATTCATTTTGTGCGACAGTAAAATGCTTACGAACAAACTTCAGTAGCTTCATTATGTACAGAAATTCGTTATTGACTTGTAAACACTGCAATAACTAATGGGAAAGTTTATAATTACCCACCGCCTCCTATATAATTGACAATTAACCCAAAAACTTCCAGGAATTAAAGGATACAGTCCCTAGTCCCTTAACAAAAAACTAGTCTTCCAAATTTCTATTAACTAAGATGAGTTTTAACAAAAAAGTTTGGTATCAGAAAGTAACTAGTTTTGTTTAAGAACTCGTTCCGAACCAGTTCAGAATTAATTTAAATCAGAAATCTTTGATAATGAACCATTTGATAATTCAGCAAAATCAAATTGTCTGTAGGTGTTTTAAATTTAATGCTTTTAAATGAAATACCACCGTATAATCGAAAAAAAAACGACGTCAACGATAGCTACGAAATGATGTTCGCTGCCATTTTATATATAAACTAGCGTGTACCAGCGACTTCGTTCGCGTCGAATTAATCATTTGTAATGGTGATGATAAAGCAAAGCAAGGATTTCCATTAACATACAAACTGGATAAAATTTTCTCACATTTATGTCAGCATGAGAAAAAACAATATGGCGATATTATTATATAACTTGGTAATATTTGAGGGGTAGTTTCATCTCGTTGGAATTTGACTTTCGAAAAATCCGTTTGCCAAAAATAAGCTTTTTACGTCAAGCAGTTTAAGCAGAATCGTGGTTTAGAAATTACCCAACTTTTTAAAACACCCTGTATGATTTTTTAAAAAATTTCAAAATATGTAAAAAAAACAAATAAATTATGGTTGTCCAAGCGTTTTCCCGAAAGACTAACCGTTTTTTAAATAACAAATATTGTAATATTTGAGGGGCGTTTTCACCCTCTTGGAATTTGAGATTCTAGAAACCCCTCCTTATCGAACCTCTACACCCCACAGTCAATCCGTTTGCCAAAAATCAGCTTTAAACGTCAAGCAGTTTAAGCAGAATCGTGATTACTCAATGGTCATATTTTATGAAACACCCTGTATAAATTTATAAAGAATCTTAAAATATGTAAAACAACAAAATAAAATATACGTGTTTAAGAGTTTTTCCGAAAAACTCTCCGGTTTTTAAATAAAAAATATTTTATTATTTGAGGGATAGTTTCACCCCCTTAGAATTCGAGTTTCGAAAAATCCCTTCTTATCGAATCTCTACACCCTTAAGTCAATCTGTTTTCCAAAAATCAGCTTTCTACGTCAAGCGCTTTAAGCAGGATCGTGATTAATCAATGACCAGATTTTTCGAAACACCCTATATACATTTTTAAAAAATCTTAGAATATGTAAAAAACAAAATAAAATATACGTGTTTAAGCGTTTTTTCGGAAACTTAACCGTTTTTTAAATAAAAAATATTGTAATACTTGAGGGGTGGTTTCACCCTCTTGGAACTGGAATTTCGAAAAATTCCTTCTTATCGAACTTCTACACCATAAAATCAACCTGTATGCCAAAATTGAGCTTCTTACGTTGAGTGGTTTGAGCAGGATCGTGATTAATCAGTATGTCAGTCACTTAAGGATTTTATACATAAGTATAGATTTATATGGGATCTGTCATCGATCGACATTTTCCAGCCAATTGGACACCGCTTTTTTTTTTCGAGTATACGGTAGTAGGTGGTATATCAAGTCATCAAAATACAGTCTTTTTTAATGTATAATCTGTCCAACGAGTCAGGAAAGATTTCGAAAAAAGAGGATAGCCAAAAGACAGACAATAGAAATGACAAACCATACTGAAGAAAACAGATGAAAAAAATACCGGGTGTTTCTCAAAAGTGGTTCACCCCTTCACCTTTTTTTTCAGATAAAAAACGAGATTTTTAGTATATGACATAAATCAGGGTTGATTGTCGTATTCAATTGTTTTCGGTCACTTCCTGTTTCACTATCATAATATGTCAACTTTTGACATTTTGGCATATGGTTTATTTGAAATTGTAACATGCGGTTCATAACGACAATTTGACGTGGTAAAAAATTATTCGTAAAAAATACGATTTGGGCATCTTTTAACTGGCCAGGATAAGACAGCAAAAACATTAGATGATCAAATCTATTTTTCCAAGGCTCCTTGGTTAAAAATTAGTGTTTTAACACAACCATGGCACTCTAGATTGAAATTTTCAAATACGATTTATTTTTAAGCGAGAATGTCAAAAGTTGACACAATAATATGTCATTCTATTCAGAGTGTCATTTTCTATCGAATAAAGTAAAAAAAACAGAGGGTATCATTTAAAAATGAAAAGTTGTAGTTTGTAGTCATTTCCGGTAGAACAGGAAGTGTCCGAAAACAGTTGAATACGTCAATTGTAAAATCGTTATTTTTGGGGCTTACTCAACCGGGTCTCACAATGCAAATTCACCTCAAATATCCATTTAGTTGGTCATTGGCAAGCACTCTCTCATTGTACATGAAAATAACAAAACAAACATTTACTGATCTGGATAAAATTGATAGTTAAATAGTAAGACTCTCCGCCCCCTAGCCACTGACATCACTGATATTCTATTCAATATATCACATTCCATATCTTCCATCTAATTCAAATATTACTCGGATCTATTGGTTAATAATCTTCAACAACTAGCTAGTGTCACCTGAAATAGTATAGGGGCTTCCCCGGACGCAAATCTGCCGCTAAACAGATTCGCATCCCAATCGATGGGGCTAATTGGGGTCCTCACACAATATACCTTAGCGGTGTCAATCGAGAAGCAAGAGACCTCAAACTCTCAAGACCATCCTCGAAGGAACGACGTCACAAGAGGTTTTTAACTCCCATAGTCAAAAGACTCGCTACTTCCAAATGTCAGCTCTGTGACAAAACACAACACTACACAGCCGGCCGGCCTATCAACAACTGACTAACCTGCCGCCTGCCGAGCTATGCCTCCTCTTACATCACAATTTTACCTGATCACAAATATTTACATCGCTTGCCAATGAATCATACTGTTTTCTCTAATCGACTTTCAAATAGAGTGTTTTAGCATTACCAATAAATAAATAGAGAGTTTCCGAAGGAATGCATATTGTTTATTAGAATAGTGAATTATTAAAAGCATTATTATGACGAACTTATTTTCCAAGTTTTACACAATCAATCCTAATTTAGGTCATATACTATCACACCAAATCTCGTTTTTTTTTATCTAAAAAAATAAAAAAGTTATAGGGGTGAACCCTTTTTAAGAAACAACCCGTACGTGTTATTGTTAAAATATTTAAAGTCTGTCCAAAGAATCAGGGAAAATTTCGACAGACAACATTCAAAAATGACAGAAAATACAATTTGCCTATGAATTAAAATGACATAGTAACTGTCACTCTCAGGTATGCTCTCATTGTAAGATTTCATTTGGTTAGTTTATCACTTTCAAACTATCCAAATACCTGGTTGTTTTGATGATAGATGATACCTACTTCTATACTAAAATATTTGCGAATATTTGTTACTTTAAAAATTAATACGATCGAAAAAAAAGCGTCAAATACGGCTGGGGAATGACAATTAATGGTAATTTTGGCGCGGTCAAGCCCTAGATGTCATTTACTTGGTCCGTACTCCTCTTTATTTTTTTTAATGGCGCTTACTACCAGCTACCAGTTGGCATTAAGAAGGTTGTATTTTATTTTCACACCATTAAAAAATATTTTTAATGGTATAGTTTAAAATTCGGGATTTTTTTTAGAAATCGATTTTTGTGGATTTTCTGGAAACACGCCCTATTCTTTTTTAACCTCTCCATAATTACTGTTAATTTTCGAAAAGTCAACATGTCAATTTTTACTAAATGACGCCTAGAGATTGACCTCGCCGAAACTACCATCTTCATTCGCCAGCCGTCTTTGACGTCGTTTTATTTTCGATCACATGATACAACTGCTTAATTAAATTGAACTATACAGATATATACCCAATTTCAATTTCGTATGACTTTTTTAATTGGTTCGGAACTATAACCTCGAACAAAACGATTATTAACAACAGGACACGGGACTAAAACGGGCTGTCTTGTTGCAGCGCCAATTTCAAGGCCAATACGACCAGTTTATGAAGAAGCTTAAACCGACCTTCGGTCTATCCTTCGGCCTGCCAAATCAAGGCGGCGGTGGGTACCCCTTTTCCCCCCAAGGCATTTACCCCCACCACGGCACCGTCGACCATACCGGCATTAACTTGGGTTTGGTTTCAGTCAATCCCCTTATTTCAGTCCAGTTTTCCAAAGATGACTACGGTAACAAAGAAATAAAACCATTTGTCAATTTACACGTCACTCCAAACAGTTATTTGGTGCACAAATTCGAAGATCTCATTTCTTATAAAAAAGGAGTTGTTTTGAATAAGCACAAACACTTCCACGTGCATAAAGGGTATCCTCCTCATTTTTCATACCATCACGTGCCTCCTCATCCGAGCATAGGTTACGAGGGACCTTACAGAGAGCACCCTGATGAGTTCCATCACGGAGGTCCTCCAGATTTTCATCACGCACCTCACTACTTTCCTCACGAGCCTGAAATCTACGATAAGCCTCATTTCGAGCATCACCCCGAGCATCCAACGTTTTATGGACCTCCAGAACATTTTCCTGAAAGTCCTGTTGCACCTCCATCTCCAGATTTCTTCCCGGAGAAATTCGGGGGGTTCTACGATAATCCCTTGAATTACGGGGGAGGTTTTCACGACTCTTTTTCGGGGAGAGCTATAAATAACGTATCGTACTCTCTTGGAACGAGTTTGTTTGACCAGTACCGGCAAAAATACAATAGTGGGGAGGATTCGTATGGGAACAAAATCGCTTTTGATTCTTCGGATACGAATGCCATAGATTATAACGGGGTGGATGAACAAAGGAGGCATGAGTACCGTGGGGGTAAAAGCCTGAATTTTGGGGGAGAGGCGAACCAAATAAAATTCCCAACGAGCAGAAGAAGACGAGACGTTACGGACAAAAACGATACAAATGAAACTACTGAAGGTAGAAGTACAAATGAAAAGGTAATCCTAAATACCAAACGTTCGAAAAAAACGGCGTCAAAGACGGCTGGGAAATTAACATTTTATCTCATCCATATTTATGCAGATTCACTCGTCTTAAAGTTATAAGAAAACAATAACAAAATAGAAACACCAAAATTAAAAGATTGGTTTTTATACTTTACTTCAAAAAGGATCTAGCCGCTACAGAATGCAAAAATGCACGTTGAGTTGTAATAATTGTGTTTGTCTCAACCTTTTAATTCGTGATTTTCTATGTTATTTTATTTAATTACGAATATAATTATTGCTTAGGATATCTTGGTTTTAAAATATCGAAAATAGTTAAAAAGCAAAGCAAAGTAAAATGAAAGCTAGTATTCACTAGTAATCTCCAGTGAATGCTAACATTCACCAGCAAAAATTGGTTCCGAATTGAACTTTCATGAATTTCCACTGGTGTAGTGTCATCAAATCAGTGAATGTAGGATTTTACCGGTTCCTAATTGTTTTTTTATTTTATTTCTGTCTATTACTGTAATATATACAATTCTGGATATCCAAAGTGCATGGTCTGGATTTTAACGTGTAAGACAGTGATGGAGACAACTTAATGAAAAATCAAATGAATTAAAAAGAGAAAAAAGTTGGGTTGATACATTTCTTCTTTGCAGTATTGCCGGATTTTGCTTCAAAATTTCAAACAGCACAAGTAGGCATTTATAATAATGTTGCATCTAGGGTTGGAACTTTATTTTTCACAATTAGTCATTTTACTACAGCTGTAATAAATTATCTTTAACTTAGAATATATTATCTTCGTTTCAGTAGTATACATGAAAGTCTTTAAAATAGTTTATTTTTTTCAACACACATTTCCCTACACACGTAAAAACCGGCAACACTGTATGCCGCTTTTTATTTTAGGGGTTTTCGGAAACTGTGATCCGATTGATCGGATTAAGAGGATTACTAATCCAGACGTTCGAAAAGTGATCTCAAAACGAGTCAATGCGTTCGGAAAGTGATCCGAATAACTCGATTTTTGCCAAATGTTGTGATCCTACTAACCCTCCTAACGAGGTGGGTAGAATTAATCAGCTGATCATTTCTAGGGTAATTTTAAACGTAACGGTCCGCATAGAAGTATAAAGTTTTTTAACAACCGTTTTGTCCGAAATCACTTTATCTAATGTTGATTAAATACATGATATTTTGTTAGTGACCGTAAAGCTAGACACTTCTATAAAAATTTGTTCTTTCAGCGTCAAGCCTACTACGGTAGGCCACAAACCTGCGGACCAAGGCACGTGTGCTGTCGTAGACAGGCTTACAGACCGTCCGCACCAACAGCCAACAGGAACCAGTGCGGTACCAGGCATTCCCAGGGCATTAATGGTCGTATCAAGAACCCAGTGTACGTGGACGGAGACTCTGAATTCGGCGAGTACCCATGGCAGGTGGCCATCTTGAAAAAAGACCCCAAAGAAAGTGTTTACGTATGCGGTGGTACCCTGATCGACCCGTTGCACATTATTACTGCAGCACATTGTGTCAAACAGTAAGTGTGTCAAACATTTAAGTGATACCAATTTAAACAATATGGACTCTATTCTTGTTTCTGTGAACCAAAATTGTATTATTTTTTGAATTGCAAAATAGGTATACACGGTCCGGCAATACTGCATCGGGCATCTGTAGCTCCTATAATAAAAAAACTTTTCTATAGTGTCTTTTTTATTTTAGATACACAAACTTTGACTTGAGAGTACGTCTTGGCGAATGGGATGTCAACCATGACGTAGAGTTCTACCCCTACATTGAACGTGACATTGCGGCGTTGACAGTTCATCCAGAATTCTACGCTGGAACTCTCTACAACGATATCGCTATTCTCAGGATGAACACGCCAGTAGACTGGACCAAACATCCTCATATTTCACCGGCATGCCTGCCACATCCACAAGTAAGTGTGTAAAGATTATTAGTTATGCAACCAACATTACAACAGTGGCCACAGAGTTTAAAGATCTGTCCAAACATACATATTACATACATACTGCCATTACTCGCTGACGAGTATTTGACACGCATCAGAGGATGTTTACGCAAGGCTATTGATTACACTAGCAATATTAAATATACCTATTCACTTGTATATTTTTGAGAAAGATCTCGTTTTCTTATTGGCCATCGCAGGTGCGGGCATTTTTCGAACTTGAAAATAATTTCTAGCGTTTTCTCTTGGCCGTCTTAGAATTTCCGTTCATGCTCATTCTCTCTACCTCTATATCTGTTGTCCTCTACATCTCTATATCTCTGGCATTTCATAAAATGCCCTTAATGCGAAGGTATCGCCATCTATTTTTGCCCTTAATATTTCACTAGTCCGAAAAAGTAGCAAAATAAGCTTTAGGCATTTAACGTTTTATGTAAACCTGGCTAGGTATTTTTAACAAATGAAGAAGAAAATTAAAGATAAAGGATTATACTATCTACTTCTGCTATTGTAACACATTTTTAGACAACTTCTTTATTTTTAAGATTTTGATGGTCAAACATGAACAAAATATTCCTTATGTTTGGACTAAATTTTCTCGAAAATAAACACATAATTTAAAATTCCGTAAAATTCATAGATTATATCTCTACTACTACTATTGTAACACATTTTTAGAGAACTTCTTTATTTTTAAGATTTTGATGGTCAAACATGAACAAAATATTCCTTATGTTTGGACTAAATTTTCTCGAAAATAAAGACATAATTTAAAATTCCATTACAATACGGAAATAGATTGAAGTTTTGTGATTGCAGTAATATACAGGGTGTCCCAGAAATAAGTGCAAGTATTTTAAGGGGTGGGAGATCTTGATAAAAGAAACATATTTTCTCTTTATCGTTTTTCAAATAAGTACAAAATAACGGAGTTATTTTAGTTTGAAAATTTCCAAAAAAAAATATTTTTTGCTAAAATTTTGAGAACCACTGGATATTTTCTGGATTTTCTTTCTTGTAAATTTAGTCTACTACCTATGTTGCCATATTATCAGGAAATTATGTTTTTTAACTTAATTTTTTTTAAAAAATTCCGAATTTTCAAAACTTTTTTTAGCGAAAAAAAACTCATATGCGTCTTTCTGGGGTTGAACTATACTACCAGTTTAAAGACTTGCACTTATTTCTGGGACACCCTGTATAATTTATACGGTTTTGTAACATGACAAATGCTGGAGCTCTGCAAACCATAATTATATCATTACTTCTCTTGTATTTATTTTTGTGGGAAATAAAGACAATTACATACATACATACATAATCAAGCCTTAATCAAAGCACGTGTGTTTGGAAATTGTGAATTTTGGATGTGAGTTCACACGACCAGGATCGGGCTAGGTAAGCCTTAGGCAGATTTCTGAAATATAATATATATTTCCTTCGGCCACACACCCGCTTTACCCGACCCCTGGGCGCGACCCGAACAGTACAGCGTAATGCGTAATAGACTCTTAAGAACGCACCTTTTCTTGAAATACAAATATTCCCATAAGGTGTGGTATCTATAAAAGTTACTTTGTAGTTGTATTTAGTACTTATTTATGCATCTATTCCAGGACGACTACACCGGATCCAGATGCTGGACCACCGGTTGGGGCAAAGACGCCTTCGGCGACTTTGGCAAGTATCAGAACATCCTCAAGGAAGTGGACGTACCGATCGTGAACTTCGGCCAGTGCCAGCGACAGCTCCAAAGCACCAGGCTAGGCTACGAGTTCAAACTTCACCCGGGATTCATCTGCGCAGGCGGTGAAGAAGGTAAAGACGCCTGCAAAGGTGACGGAGGTGGCCCCATGGTCTGCGAGAGGGGAGGTACCTGGCAAATTGTAGGCGTGGTCAGCTGGGGCATTGGGTGTGGTCAGCCCGGAGTACCAGGAGTGTACGTCAGAGTGGCGCACTATTTGGACTGGATCAGACAAGTTACGCAGAGATACTGAACGACGTACTCATAGAAGGGTCCAGAAACTGCAAATCTACAACGGTTTTTTGAGATTTTAAGAATTATTTATTATGCCAGAATTTAAATTGTTCTGATTTTATTACAACTGGGACTCTTGCATATACTCTTAATTTATTTACAGGGTGAGTCAATTTCTGGGGGTGATTTCCCATTAAAAAGATACGCAACAAAAAAAAAATGCGTTGTTTTAAACCTAGATCATATATTATACTTACGCGGATAAGTAAATACTGTCGCAAACATATCAACGACCTACATTTTTCTTCTTTTTTTGTTGCACAGGCGGTGCTTCTACTCTATCTATCCTTTTCGAGAACCTATCGTTCACGCGCCAAATTTGAACATTAATTTTAAAAATTTAATTTGTAAAATGTATATATTTGAATAAATTCAATGTTTACTGTCACAAAAATTAAATTAAATAAAAATACATTTAGCCACTCCGTACGAATATCAATATTCTTAGGAAATCTAACCAGAAAGCATGCATGTAAGTAGTTTAATATAAATAAAAGAACAACCGAATACTTTACTTGTCTATGAAAAGATAATTCGGGGACCTTTATATTAGAACTTCCACACACCAAACAGTTTCTAGTCATTGTTTTAATGAGCATGCGTAAAGTAAGGTCCTCGGAAAAGACAAACCTATTGAACGTTTCATAAATGCAATAAAGACGGTTTGAAAATGGCATGTCTTCATGTTGAGACATATTTTTTAATGCTGAACTTATGGCGTTGATTTATCCACGTAAGTTTATATGATCTATGGTTTTAAAAATAAAAGATGTTAAACTTTTTAGAAAAAGTATTTTTTTTTGTAATTATCTTAAATAGGTACTCTGCGGTCAATTTTCTTGAAATAACAAAAAAATATGTTTTTTAAAATTTTTAACAATCTGTATCTTTAAAACTTTGCATTTCAGGAGAACCCATGTTTATAGAATCTTTTTATCAAATTTTTTAATGAGAAACCGGCTCCTGAAATTTGGCCGTGCATTTTTCGAACACCCTGTATAGATTTAAAATGTTATATAAGTATATTTAAGCTAATTTATTTTGTAGGTTGTAAATAATATTAATAATTTGTTAATAAATACTGTTGTGATAAAAATAAATTATTATATCTGAAGTAAAATAAACACTGGTTTAATATATAACTAAAATTTTATTTACAAACTTTTTTAATAACAATTTCTTTGACATAAAACAATAAAAAGGCAAAATTTATTTGTTCTGATAAATGTAAGAATATTTCTTACACTATAAATAAATACATCAATACAGAGCATTCAGTCGAATAAAACATATCACATTTTCTTGAAAACCTGTACAAAAAGATTTATTTTAAAGATACTTGGCACCTCGGTGTGAGGACACCGCATCTTTCATAGCTGAATACCAAGTTCCGATATTAGATCTATTTAATAGATCTCTAAAAGCGCTACATCCTTCGATACTATTTAAAACACCATATACCGCCAAATCTGCTAAATTTGGATGATCGCCGCCATGAAATGTTGTTCCTTTCTTCCGTAATTCTTTAGTCTAAAATAGATTAGCAATAGAAAAAAATATATAATTTTCTCTGTACTTAAGTACTTACCCATTTCGAGCATTCATCATACAAACTTTCTCTAACATCGTCTTTTAATCTATATTTCTTCTTTAGTTTCTTCCCTATTAAATACATAGCCGAGCTTCCCACATAAACAATCAAGTTCCTTTCCCAAGCCGGGAAATTTTTATCCCATTCTCCAACTTCAGAAAACCAGTTAAACGCCTGTAATGATTCGTCCATTGTCCGGTATACGTTTGGAGACAGCACATGTACCAAAACATTATCTACCCATTTTCTCCATTTTCTTTCATCCCTATAATATAAATACACTAACTATAATTATATTTTTTTATTTGCTTGAAGACTTACTTTGAAATTTGTTCATCGGGATATATTTGTTCATTACTCAACATCAAAAAGTATTTATTCATAATTTCATTCTTCTTTGAGCCATCCTCATCATAAAACGATATGAATGGAAAGCACTTTGCAATTTCTGTCAGAGATTTGTCAGAATCTTTTAAGTAAGATGCCAGTGCTGAGATAATCATAGTGCTATCATTTAATGGCTAAAAATTAAACCTTTACTAAATATATTATTTTTAAATTTAGTATCTTTGTTACCTGATATCCTGACTCAGTCTGAGCAATTAAAATAGGCACCTTTTTATACTCGGACCATTTAATTGACTGTCTTAAAACAGGATCAACTTCTACAACGTTATATGATATCCCATAATAATCCAAAAATGCCCTAACTTTGCAACAGAAAGGACATGTTTGATATTGATACAAAGTTAACTTTAACCCACTATCATCGTTTGGATATATCACCTAAAAATACACAATTAGATCGCCTAAACTATAAACAAAACAGTAAACTACCTTTCGACTTGGTTCCACTTTTGGTACCTCTTTGACAGGTTCAATAAAGGTTTGTTCGTTAATTATATGGCCTCTAGGCTTATTTTGATGGTGAATGGTGTAGCCAGTTCCTACTAAAGCACCTACCGTGACACCGGTTAATCCTAGTTTGAAAAAGCCCTTCAAACTCCTTGGTTTTGAACTTGTGCTGATGGATCGTACGGGCAGCAAACATAAATGATGATTTATATTTTTAAATGTATTTTGACTAATTAAGGAACTGTTTCCATAAAATTTGAAAAGTATTCGTCGGTAAACACTCATATTTCGATAAATTTCCGAAAAAATTACACCATGACCATATAACCAAAAAATCTCTTTAACTAAAAATATTGCATTGTTGCCAAATTTTATTTTTTGCTTCTTCATTTCAAAATACCAAACAAAATTTAGATCAAATATTAGGATTATCTAACACTTGATTGAGTGTTATTTTATTTACTAGGGAAAGTAAACCTTCTAAAAACATTTTCCTGCAATACTGACTTTAAATTTTTAAATTGTTTTTAAGGGAACAACACAATTTAAAGAATATTTTCATTACATTTGGCAACAGCATGACTTAAGTGCATCTCGCGACATCTATTAAACAACTATAATACTCAGTAACATAACCTGAAATACGGATCCGGAGTGAAAAATTTCGCTCGATTTATGAAATGTACGGCATCTCAAAATATTGTAACTTGTGCGGTAAAAAGAACAATTTGGTAAGGTCCTTACGAGTGATTAAAAGGCAATTAAGTCAACAGCAAATCTCTGGAAACTCAGGTAGAAAAATAAAAACAATCAAAACCCTGTAGTTTTTCATTTCTAATACAGATGGCGCCCTAATCGATGTGGTTGAGAACTCGGCTAAGACAGAGACGTATTCAAGTTTTTTAATTTTTTTCAGAACTAGCTGAAGGATACAAACCTGAAGAAGTAAACCATGAAATAAATGAGGATTATTTTTTCCCTCCATGTCGATCAAATCAGAAACCGTTTACTTTAATATTACCTCCACCGAATATTACAGGAACCTTACATTTAGGGCATGCCCTCACGTCTTCTATACAGGATGTTTTAATAAGATGGTACAATACATTTATTAATAGAAGTAATATAATATACAATTATTATTAAAATATTATGTTATTAGGCATAAAATGAAGGGGATTGAGACATTGTGGGTGCCTGGTCTGGATCACGCGGGTATAGCAACGCAAGTTGTGGTTGAAAAGAAAATATGGAAAGAGAAAAAACTGTCCAGACACGATTTGGGCCGGGAGAATTTCCAAAAAGAGATTTGGAAATGGATGTCAGAAAAATCTTCAACAATAAGTAAATTGTTTTTTATTTGTCTATACTTACATTAGTTGCGCGACTTAAGCTTGATTTTCGTGCATCCGTTGTCCGACGATACGTTGATACGATATTAATTTTATTGGTAGAATTTAAAGATTTTGATTGGTTAGAAAATAACGCAGTTTTTAAATTTATTACATTTTCATGCCTCCGTTTATCGGATCAGTGCCTTCTATTAAAAGATCAGCCTACGGGCGAGATTTATGACGTCACGCTAGTTAGATATAACGGATTAATAAATATGTTGTAGAATACATGGAAAACATAATTATTCCTCAGATTTTTGGTTTGTATTTTAAAAATGATATAGTTTAAATGAAATATACATAATATACAGTTATGACCAATCAGAGCACCGTCGGACCAACGTACCAACGTATAACGGATGCATGAAAATCAAGCTTTAGTCCTGTCACACATTTTTTATCGTCCTTCCAAACCTTTGAATAAGAAGACTAAGGAAGGAGCATAATGCTATCCATGTATTCATGCATGGTGGTCGGAAAAAGCGCCATAAAAGCACTCTAGGGTGGGGATCCTTGACAGTTCTGTTTGAAGATTCATTTGACACATTTGAATTTGATTTGAAATTTTGTGGATTTGTCAGTCTTTACGGAGCTTATTTTATGTTATTTATTATTTATTCTATTACTGATAGTTGTATAAAGGTAGTAAATCTAGATGGAAATTGTGGCAGCACTTAAATTAACAGTGACACTATCGCGATTTATCGAAAAAGACTCTAAAATAGTTGGTTGTGTAGCGTGCGGTAGATCTCGGCAAAAATTGAGTGAAATAATGGAACAACTTTTCGCTAGTAAGTGACTATATAATATACATACGTTTAGTAAACCGATCATTTATGAAATTCACTTAAATTAACTAAATTATATATTTTTCTTGCATTTTAGCTTTTATTTATTACTTGTCAAAGATTAGATGTCAAAGAATTTAGATACGTTAATTTGACTTACCTGCTTCAGTAGCGTATCGGATATTTGTGGTAATAAATACTTATTATAACTTATCTATTTTTATTAGAATTATATATTTTTATAACAATTTTAATAACTACCAACATTTATTCACAACGTAAAATAAAACAACAAATTATTGAGTCTACCCCACGTCTACCCTACATCATAGTTTTACATTTTTTAAATAAAATTAGAACGACACTGATAAACCGGAATTTAAATCGGCCATATTTGAGGCCCATCGCGGTGTACCTAAGATTTTTGATATGCTTCTTCCTTAAGTCTTCTTATTCAAAGTTCCAAACCTAAGTTCCAAACATAATTGTCAGGTCTAGGGATTTTTTCCCAGATCTAGGGAAAATGTAGGTTGTGAAGGAAAGAAAAACGCTGCGATAATCATAATACTATTATTTAATGGCTAAAAATAGAACATTTATTATAAATATACTGTAATGTGAAATATTCAAATTTAGCTCTAAAATTAAGTTGGCAACGCTATAGACTTTCCGGGGAATCTGGTAAGGTAAGACCTAGTTGCCAGCTCTATGGAATTTTTGGTAGATTTAGGGAAAATTAAGGTTGTGAAGAGAAGAAAAATGTAGAAAAAGGATATTGATGGTAAATAAACTTTAGAAAACATATTTTTACACAAAATTTAACGATAACTGCATTTAAAATTTTACCAAATTTGGCATATCTTTTTTTTATCTACAATATCTTCAGAAAAAAAAATTAAGACTATTTTTTTTAGTTATAATAATATTTAAAATTGTTTCTGTTGAACTATTGTTCTAACTATTGATATTATTGACAATATAATGCGTTATTTACTACTTTGAGATTGTTTATCATAATATAATAGGGAAATCTAGGTAAATTTGAAGCAGTGATTTAGGGAATTTGTAAAATTTCATCTGGCAGCGTTGCTTCCAAATCTCGTCGTTCTACGATAATTTCTGTTTTAGTCAATAACTGGAATATTTTGATCAGCCCCTGTATCTTAAAATACAGGGACTAGTCAATATATTTGAAACATTCCTAATAACTCGAAACTAAACAACATTTTGTGAAATGTAAAGTCCTGCTAATAAAAACTGGACCACCCTATGCATTTATATGATTAAACCGTACTTTTTTCTAGTTGATCAATTGAAAATGTTAAATGTAACCTTAAACTGGGAAAAGAAATCGTTCACCATGGACCAGACCAGTTCAGAAGTGGTAGTGGAAACGTTTATAAGGCTTTTTGAACAAGGTCTGATATACAGGGCGGGGCACCTGGTCAACTGGTCGTGCATTCTTCAGTCTGCCATATCTGACATTGAGATAGACTACATGTCGATCACTGGACCCACTCATATTGACGTACCTGGATATGATAAGCCGATAAAATTCGGAGAACTCACTTACTTTGCTTATAAAATTAAAGATTCAGAAGGTCTGTAGTGCATCAAATTTATTTTTTGTTGGTACTAACGCCAAAAAGTATGCAACTAACATTACACAGAGTCCTAAAACATATCCATAAGCCCTTTATGGTTTCTAATAATACAATTTTGTATTTTAATTGTTTTAGACGAAATTGTTGTGGCTACTACCAGACCTGAAACGATAGTAGGCGATGTTGCAGTTGCCGTAAACCCAACAGATTCCAGATATACTAAATTTATCGGAAAACAACTTTACCACCCGTTCAGAAACACGTTTATACCCGTTATAGCCGATGATTTTGTAGATCCAGAATTTGGAACAGGTAGGGACGTACAAAAATATCGATACTTTGAAATATCGATATTCTTTTATGTAATGCCCATACAATATTGCCTTTCATTGTTTCTACTCCTTTCATTTAATGCATTATATAACTTAGGGTGTATTCCGTTGCTTACCTTAGTTATGGTTTTATGTTCCGTTTCTATCGGTTTCCTGAAAGTTTTTTTTATTACGGAACACGGTTCCTGAAAAATTCGGTTATAACTATCACAAAACTAACCAGCGCGGGAAGGCTGGTTTTTCTGGTATTGTTTGTCAATCAATGTCATTTATGTGACAGAAATCAAGCAAATATTGGAAGTTCAAGTGAAATTCTCTTTTAATTTCTAAAATTTGTAATAATATTTTGTATTTAGATCCAAAAGCATTGGAGGTAGGAAGTAAAGGTAAATAAATTTCATTAACTAAATAGAATGACTTTTTAGGACCATAGAACTTATCATGCAGCCATTGTTTCTTAAAGTCAGGAACATTTAAAGAAAACATGAAAAACAAGACAACAAGTAATCGTGAATGTTTTGTAAGCTATAAAAATATAAATATTGATTAGATTTGTTTATTTGTTATTGATCTGTTTTAATATTGGACCAGCAAATCTTCACTTGAGCTGTCTAACGAGTTTAACAGTTTATTAATAAAGTACTTTTCAATATTAAACTCCATTGTAAAGAAGAAGTAAACGTAAAAGCAGAGAATAGGTACATTAAAAATGCAGAAAAGATAAATTTTATAAGGGTAAGGTATTGAAATTTAGAAAACGTCAACATTTGACGTTTCCAGTATTTTACCGAACCATTCCGTATCAAACCGATGTTTTTCAGGAACCGCTCATTACCGCAGTTTACCGGTCTGGTTCGCCTGGTTTTGCAACGGAATACAGCCTTAGTGCTTTAATTTGACATTTTTCTCTGTGATAGGAGCTGTCAAAATAACTCCATCGCACGATCACACAGATTTCGAAGTGGGCAAACGTCACAAGTTAAAATCCTTGGAAATTATTGATAGTAGGGGATCTTTAAACGATCTCTGTAAGGAATTTGAAGGTTTGCAACGTTTTAAAGCACGAGATGTCATTATTGACGAACTTACTAACAGACAATTGTATAGAGGACGAAAAGATCACAATATGAAAATACCCATTTGTAGGTAAGTTTGAAATAGGTGAATATGATGATGAAATATGATGACTTTGTGACAGCAGCGCCTATTAAAGTGAGGTCTTTGAATATGCAACCAACAATAAGTTGAGTCCTAATGTCTGTACCCCAGAAGCAAACTATGTGATGTCACTATTTGTTGTCCCTGTATGTTGCAATTTGGAACGAAAGTACTAAATTTTTATTAAGTTTAAATTAAGACTACCTTATAATAACAAAACTGTCAAAATCAATTTTCGTCACTGTGGACCCGTGGACATAACATACGCTAACCAAATATGTTTAGACAAACTGCGTTTACGTGACTTAACCTCGTTTAGACATCGATCGACTGTTTTATTTATTGGTACAGATAGCGTAAAACATGAAAGAACAAGTAGAACATAAGAAGCTAAGTAATTTATTGGCCTATGAATGTTATTGATGAGTGTTTAAGGGTTAAATTAAGCGAAGAGTTAGAGGGGAAAAATAATTAGGACTGAGAGTAATGTTGGTTGCATACCTTGTGGCGAGTCAACTAAATTTGAAATTTTAGTCGATCAAAAGACGTTATAGAGTTTCTACTCAAGCCCCAATGGTTTGTAAAATGTTCAACAATGGCAGAGAATGCGCTAAATGATGTAAAATCAGGAAATTTGGTAATAGAACCCGAGAATTTCGAAAAAATGTGGTTTCACTGGCTAGAAAATATTAGGTAGTTTCGAAAAATGCACGATTTCTTCAAAACTTTTTACAACAATAACTTTCATATAGGGACTGGTGTATATCAAGACAGCTGTGGTGGGGACATAGAATCCCAGCCTATCACTGTGCAAAAATGGGTTCAGAATCTAGGGAAAAAATATGGGTAGCAGCTAAAAACGAACAGGAAGCTAAAATAAAAACTTCTAAAATTTTAAGTTGTCCTGAAACGGAGATTGATTGTGAACAAGATGATGATGTCTTGGATACGTGGTTTTCATCAGGTCTGCAGCCATTGGCTGTGCTGGGTTGGCTTGAAAATGTATGTCTTTAATGAATAAAAAATGTAGTTGAAAATGTTTACATATTTTCAGAAAGAATTCTTCAAAAAACATTACCCGATATCTTTGATGGAGACGGGACACGATATATTATTTTTCTGGGTGGCCAGAATGGTTATGTTAGGAACTCAATTGACTGGTATATTTATTCTAAATTTGTCATTTTATCGTTTTATTATAACCAACAAAATAATTTCTAGGAACCTTGCCATTTAATAAAATATTACTTCACGGCATTATTTGTGACGCCCACGGTCGAAAGATGTCAAAAACTTTAGGAAACGTCATTGCACCCGAAGATGTCATAAATGGAGCCAGCTTACAGGTGAGAAAGAAACTAAAAAATCTGTATCCATATGGTAAAAAAGTTCTAAAGTTCTTTTCAAACGTGTTATTTTGTTCAATTTTTGGACATCATTTCACCAATCAAATTTTTGTCAACCATCAATTATACACAAATATTTTATTCAGTTCAGTCTTGGAGAGATATCCTGTTTGTGTTCAGATTTTAACTAACCTTCAATAGAGCATAAAAATATGGTGTTCAGTTTTCGATTACCCCTCAATTGAACACAAATATTATACAGGGTGTTTCAAAACAAATGCGAAAAACTTCAGGGGGTGATTCCTTGTTCAAAATAAAGGGTAGTTTGCTTCATAAACGTTGGGTCAAAATTCAACCATTAGGGAGATATTGCGGTACAAAGACGGCGGAAAAATAAATTTTTTATTTTTTATCTTGAAAACGAAAAGAGATAGACTAATATGTTATGTGCATTACTGTTATGAAAACACACTTTCTGGTCATTTTTTCACTTTTTTGAAATGAGTGGAAGGAGTTGAAATAAACTACCCCTATCATTCTTGTTAACGAAATTTAAAGAAAAATCTTATCAAACACATGCAAAAAAATTAATTTGGATAGTTTAGTTTGTTTAGAAACTTTTTTATCTCTTGTATTTTTTTGATAAAACTCACCGATTTAAAATTAAAAAATAAAATGTAAAGCATTACATGTCAGGACAAAAAACATTTTCTGATAAAGAATCTAGTAGGCTGCTGTAATTTTTTTAGGAAAAAATCTAGTCGGCCGCTGTTACTTTTTAGGATGTTCCTAATATTATTTTATTTGACATTACTCTACTGCAATACGTTATTATCTAGATGATTATTATTATAGTCTGTCCAACGAGAAGATCCTTGACAGTGATAGATGTGTCTGTCGTTTTAATTTCAAAGTAGTTTATTTTATTTTACAAAGAAATAAGTTGGTACAACTGGAACGCATAGCAGGACATCATTTAAAATTTGATTGACAAGATGACAAGTGATTACTTCAAAATATTGTGAAAAAAAGTGTATAAAACTGAAAAAATGTAATCGAGTTATTTTATTTAATAAAAACGGTATGTGTTAATACAAAATAAACAAGAACAAGACACTACATACCAAAAATATAAAAAAAGAATATTATTTACTTTCAAGCTTTATGAAACTACCCGCATTTATGATTATATTTATCAATATAACTTATGTACAAATACAAATTTGTAATATTCCACAGGAATAAATAAAACAACATAGGTAAATAAAACAAATTATTTTATTAATAATAACACCTACCAAATTTTATACCTTAAAGGTTGATTAATTAACTTTAATCTTAATTTTTTTAAACCAGTACCTTTTGACATTATTTTTCTGCAGTACTAAAATCCATTATTTACCTATCATGTGATGTCGATATTTTACAGCTACTCCAGTTTTTAGTATGTGTTTTGTTTGATCCTTCTACCATATACGAGATGCACTTATCCACGACAAAATGGTATACAAACTTTATCGATGGCAACTTCATTGGTGTATAAGACTTTCTGCCTGGGCAGCGAATATTAACCATAAACTGTGCTCTGGGTCTACAGTTAATTTTCAGTCGATTTTTCCTCCACTTGACTTCAAAAGACACAAAACACACGTAATAATACGAATCAAAATGCATCATCTTCCAAAACGCAGGGTATTTAACAAAAGTTGACACAAAATTATAACCTATAATTTGGTAAGACTTTCACAAGCGTCAAAAATGACAAAAATCTAAAGGCGAGTTCATACGCATCGGCGTCCGTTTGTCGTTCATCGTTCCGTCAAACCAATAAAATTGAAATACGATCTGTCATTTTTTAAATAAACCAATAAAACTGGTTAAAAACAACAAGACACGACGCATGACGGATTTATATTTAAACCCATCCATAGATAACTTAAAAATTATTAGAAACTTTTTTTAGTAAAATAAATAGATTGGTATGGAACGTCATCTGCTTTTCTTCTGTCATCGTCTGTCGAAATCTTACCTGAGAAAAAAAACAGAGTATATCGTTATTATCACTAGATTCTTAATCTAAAAATGTGTTTTGTCCTGACAGGTAATGCTTTACATTTTATTTTTTAATTTCCAATCGGTGAGTTTTATCAAAAAACACAAGAGGTAAAAAAGTTTCTAAACAAACTAAACTATCCAAATTAAAGCATTTGCATGTGTTTGATAAGATTTTTCTTTAAATTTCGTTAACAAGAATGATAGGGGTAGTTTATTTCAACCCCTTCCACTCATTTTAAAAAAGTAAAAAAAAATACCTGAAAGTGTGTTTTCATAACAGTAATGCTTCCATAAAATTTCATTAGTCTATCTCTTTTCGTTTTCAAGATAAAAAATAAAAACATTATTTTTCCGCCATCTTTGTACCGCGGTATCTCCATAATGGTTGACTTTTGACCCAACGTTTATAAAGCAAACTACCCTTTATTTTGAACAAGGAATCACCCCCTAAAGTTTTTCGCATTTGTTTTGAAACACCCTGTATATATAGACTTTGTGCTCTAGAATTAAAATGATCATTACATTTTTCGTAAGAAAAAAATAACAAATAAGTTTTTCACGAATTCTAGGAACTGAAAAGTAATTTAGGACAAAGTTACTCCAGTGGAATATTGACACAGGCAGAATTTGACATAGCTCTTCAAGGCCAAAGAAAAATGTTTCCTAATGGCATACCAAAATGCGGCGCAGACGCTTTAAGATTTACCCTACTGTCGCACAACATCAAAAGTAAAAATTACAATTTTTTTTTCTAGAACATTTATTTATACACTTTGGCCAAGAAATTACGCCATACCGGGTGCGTCTCAAAAGTGGCTTACCCCTATAACTTTTTTATTTTTTTAGATAAAAAAACGAGATTTGGTATGTTAGTATATGACATAAATTAGGATTGATTGACATATTCATTTCACAGTCACTTCAGTCCTGTTTCGCCGGAAATGATTACAACTTTTAATTTTTAAATGGCATTCCCGGTATTTTTTTACTTCATTCGATAGAAAATGACATTCTGAATAGAATGACATATCATATGTCAACTTTTTACATTTTTGTTTAAAACAAAATTGAATTTTAAATTTCAATCTAGAGTGCCATGGCTGTGTAAAAAACACTATTTTTTAATCAAGGAGCCTTGGAAAAATAGATTTGATCGTATAATGTTATTCGTGTCTTGTCCTGGCTGGTTAAAAGATACCCAAATTGTATTTTTAATCACATCTCAATTTTTTCAAACGGAACGAGGGTGGCTCATTAGCATATTTGGAAAAAGCATTTTTTTACGAATAATTTGATACCACACACTTGGTATTTCGAGTCAAACTATCGTTATGAACCGCATGTTATAATTTCAAATAAACCATATGTGAAAGTGTCAAAGTTGGCATATGATATGTCATTCTATTCAGAATGTCATTTTCTATCGAATGAAGTAAAAAAATACCGGGAATGCCATTTAAAAATCAAAAGTTGTAGTCATTTCCGGCGAAACAGGAAGTGACAGAAAACAAATGAATATGTCAATCAATCCTAATTTATGTTATATACTAACGTACCAAATCTCGTTTTTTTATCTGAAAAAATAAAAAAGTTATAGGGGGTGAGCCACTTTTGAGACGCACCCGGTATATGGAAGTAAGAGTACTTTTCCAAATCTAATTATACTAAAATATGCTATATACAGGGAGATTCAAAACTAGATATTTGTGATGCATACTTATATCGAAAATCAAAATTTCAAAAAACTTAAAATAAACTTCCTTCTTTATATATGGTATGTTTTCTTGAACGTACTATTTAATACATATGTCCGTACATATTTTTAGATCATTTTATCAATTTTGAAATCAGCGAATGCCACACGAATAAACTGTTTTGCAATAAAATCTGGCAGGCCACAAAATTCGCTATATTATGGTGCGATAAAGTGTCGGACTGTCAAGGCGAGAAATTTCTGGAAAAAGATGACGATTTTGACAGATTGCCACTGATGGACAAGTGGATTCTTAGCCGATTAAGTTATTTGATCGAGACAACTAATCGAGCTTTGGAATCGCACGATTTCTACGTTGCCACAGCGCGTATCAAGGATTTCTTTTACTATGAATTTTGTGATATATATTTGGTAAGTTTACAAGAACGTTGTGATGTTGTGGTATATTTGAATTTTTGTTGGTTTGCTATGATTTTCTCTGTGTTTATTTTATATTTTTTGTTCATTTTATTATTGGCTTTATGCAAAGTACATAATTTAATTTCAAAGTACAAAGTGGCGCCTGCGGAAGCTCCAAGGAGAACGGTAGTTTATATCGAAATTAAATTTTGGCAGCTTATGTAGGTTAACTGAAAGCATTTTATAAAAATATACAGGGTGTCCCCAAAAAAAGTTACACTTCAAAGTTGTGTTTTTTTGTAATGGAACACCCTATATATTAATTAATTTTCGAATTCTAGGAAAAAAATAAAGGTGAGTTTTATTAAAGAAGCATATACCTAAAATCTAAGGATGTTGACATATTTCACATTTTGTGAAAATGAAGAGTTAATTTTAAATTTCGATAACAGCTACCTAAATTTTAGTGGACCTTGTATAGCCTGATATTTAATTACAGTAACCATTGTATGTTAAACCAAATTGAAATTTGACTCGAAAAGTTATACAGGGTGAGACAAAATTAATATGGAACATTAGTCACTTTTAAAAGCATGTTACTCCTTTATTTTAAACGGAACACCCAGTATATTTTTCCGGTGTTCAATGGGGAATTTATATATCTTCAAAACATTATTAAGGTTGCCTACCCCTCAGACAAAGATTTTCCTAGATATTTTAATTTTTATGATTTTGCGTCAGTAGATCTTTATTATTTGAAAAAATCTAGGGGGGTGGCTGTGATATACCTTTTGTTAATTTAACAAAAATTAAAGATTGTAGAGTAAAATACTCAACGGTAATAAAAAGATACACGTTTAAAACATATTTTAATTATTACACAATTAAAACTAGATATAAACCTATAATTTATGTGACAAAAATTAGCTAGATGAAATCAAATGCTTCCTTTCCCGTTAACTGCATAAAATGATTGTCTTTCAAAAGAATCAAAAGGATCTTTTCATTTTAAAAGGCATATTTGGAGATCTACCTCGAAAAGCAGCTACAATAATTTTTCTCATGTTGTCGACAATCATTTTTTAAACACTGTCTTTAACATATCCCCATAAAAAAACAGACTAGATTAATCAGCAGTCTCCATTCACCAACTAATAGAATCATATCAATTCTCTCTGATGTAGGATAAGTTTGCATTTTCGGCAAATTTCTGAGAATTTTTTTTTGTTTTAACTGACACAAAATGATAATTAGTTGTTAAAGTTGGACTAATTATACAGCTATATTGAAGTAACGTTAGACATATCACAGCCATCTAGATTTTATCAAATAATAAAGATCTACTCAGCTCAAATCATGTAAATGAAAATATCTAGGAAAATCTTTGTTTGAGGGGTAGGCAACCTTAATATTATTTTGAAGAGACATGAATTCTCCATTGAATATCGGAATAATATACTGGGTGTTTCATTTAAAATAAAAGAGTAACATGGTTTTAAAAGTGACCAATATTCAATATTAATTTTGTCTCACCCTATATAACTTTTTGGATCAAGTTTTAATTTGATTTAATGTACAATAGTTAGTTTAACTACATATTAGGTTATACCGGGTTAATTCCAATTTAGGTAGCTTTTATTGTAATTTAAAAATTGTCCTTTATTTCTAGAAAATGTTAAATATGTCAAAAACCTTACATTTTAGTCATATACTTCTCTTATAAAACTCACCTTTATTTTTCTCCCAGAATCCGAAAATAAATGAATATGTAGGGTGTTCCATTACAAAAAACACAACTTTGATATGTAACTTTTTTTGGGGACACCCTGTAGAAATCTCTATATTTTTAAAAAGTGCTCTGAATTAACCTACATATCTACTGTCGTTCTCCTTGGCACCTCCGAGGCGTATGAGAGGCGCCACACGGTGGAAAGACACAATATAAGATGTTGGACATTGACTTAAAAATAAAATTTTAAATTAAATAATTTTGGTAGAAGATTTTAATTACTTAAAGTCCAGACCGTTATATTTTATCCAACTCAAAAAAATATTTTTAATTATATGTCTGTTTGAAAAGTTTCAAATGAAGATATTACACTGACTTAATTATGGTATTCATTTCTTGTGAAACAACCTAGTTTTATAAAAAGTGGCAAAGACATTAATAATTTTTTAACCATACATATATTAGTGCAAACGATTGTTTTCACTTTAAAATAAAAATATATATAGTCACAAAAGTTTGGGAGAACCATTATTGTATATAAGTAACACATAAACATTTTTTTGCTACTAAATACTAGATTTAGTACCAAAAAATATGTATGTAGAAAATAAAAAATTGCCAAAGTTGGCCAATACTTTATATATGTCACAAGGTAGATTAAGCCTTTCTAATAACGAAACTAATTTAATATCTTGCCCCAGCTTGCCCCCCTCTAAAAATTTCCATTTAATATATTACTAATACATGCTATACTAAAATCAAAAACCTTTTCAATTCCAATAAATCAAATTATCTTTATCAAGAGTCAAATTATCTTTATTTTCTTATAAATTTATTAATATTTAATTATTAATTGGATAAATACAAAATGACGCTTAAATCAAAAACAGATACAGGGTGCTACAAATATATGGAAAACTTATAAACTATTGGAAAAAGAAAAAGGGTTAAAGTGCAGCGTTGAGCTTTTTTGTTTGTGTTAAAAATATTCTAGTGCGTAGATTTACTGTTATATTCTTTGCTTATAATAAAGTTAGTGTACAGGGTGTCCCACTAAGAATAGCTCTCGGCTATATCTCGGAAAGTATTAGCCGTGAGGCCTGCGGAAAAAAATATTCATAACTAAAGAGGCTATGAGAAATTGCTGGAAATTATTTTCAAGTTTGTAGAATGGCCGCTAGAGGGTGCAACTGCTATAGAAAAATAAGAAAATGGAGTTTTTACACAATTTTGCCTAGATAAGTGGTACTATAAAGAATAGCTTCATAATCTTCAGTAAATTCTGAATATTATTTGTTAGAACCATTTTCCCCTACCTGCCAAAATAAAAGTGGTGGGGGAAGGTTAGATCTGTTTTTATTTAAATATTAATAACTCCGGACTGAATGGACAGAATCCAACTAATGGGGGCTCGTTTAAAAGAGCGTTTCTTACTCTATATTATACCATATAAACAAATAGTAAGCTTTTGAACGTAGACGCTAGGGGGCGCTATCTTACAATTTAACAAACATTGCGCGTTTTTTCAAAAAAATTAAATGCGATGGTATATGTAATTTTAGCTGACAGTAAAGAGTAATGAAAGCTTAAAAAGTCAGTGAAAACCGCATCTTGATATCTTTCAAACCGAAGATATTAGCAAAATTATATTAAATAGGAAAATATAAGCAGTGTACCATATACACATAAATATATGCGTCATATTTTTATAATACGGTATCAGTAATCCTAGATTTCAGTGGTAAAATCTAAAGATATTTCTTTTTAAAAGAATCCAAACTAAAACATTTCACGACAGTTTGGCAAAGTTTATTAGCATTTAAAAATTCTAAGATTTTTCCAAAACATACTATATTTTTAGGTCACCCTGTAGATGGTTTGTAATGAGTCAACCACTTCTTTCATTAAAATTTAAAATTGTTCTGTTTATACATTATTACGGTATATAAAAATCATTTTTTCTGTCCTTTGGATTAAAAGTGTTGAGAAGAAAACCTCATGTCCAACCGCTGCCATAAGCTCGTTCCACTGTGCGCCACCCTGTTCATAATTTTAATTGTGAGTTTTCTTTGACGAATTTGAAATTAAATTTGCGTTTTCTTTAGTTAAAACTGCGATTTTTATTGCAATAAAATGGCAAATCCGCTATGTTGTGAAGCCATTTGTTTATGTTTATGAAGAAAAAATATTTTTTGCATTTTTTAACACCTTATTTTATATAAGCGTAACTAAATTATGACTGGGTACGGTCCTGTCTGGCATAACTTACGTTGCAATATCAACGAAACTCGAAGGTTTCACTCACATGTCTCCGATAGCCGTGATCGTCTAGTGGTTAGGACCCTACGTTGTGGCCGTAGTAACCCAGGTTCGAATCCTGGTCACGGCAGTGTCGCACACTGTCACGGTGGAGATTACTTTTTTATTTTTTTTTTCGTCGAAAAAATGATTTTCTCAACTTCTAGTACATATTATACGGTATCTTCAAAAAAAATCGGGTACTTATACAAGGTAAAAAAACGAGCGTTCTTAAAAAGCACTATATCAGCTTTCTGGTTTGAGATATTATTTACTCTCTTTTTTTTGTTTTAAGTATGGGGACAATGAACATTTTAAAAGTATTTCTGTCAGCATACAGGGTGGTTCAAATATATTCTCAAACTCAAATTATACAGAGTCTTAAATAAGTGCAAATATTTTCAGGGCTGTAAATTTCGATAAAAGAAACAAAAAATTTTTCTTTATCGTTTTTCAAATAAGTCCAAAATAAACCGAGTTGTTTAAGTTTGATATTTTTAATTTATTTCATTTCAAATTTTAATTTTTTTATAAAAACTTTTTTCCAAATTTTTTAATAACCCCCTAAAATTTAGCCGTATAATTAAAAATAAATATTTAGTTACTTCATTTTATTTTTCATTAAATTACCATTCCAAAAATACCGTATGATCGCAAAAAAAAGGGCGTCCAGTTGCCTTGAAAATGACGGTGGATGACAGACCCCCCATATAATTTCACATATAAAATACAGATACACCAGAATAGTCTGTTACTTTATACTTTTTATACAGGGTCGCTGTTATGTATGGAAACGGCCGATTATTAGGTAAAATATACAAGGTACCGCACAAAGTTAAATACAAAAATTATAGGGTTTTTAAATATCTATTGGCGAGTAATAAATTTATGTATACAGGGTCGGTCATAAAGTCGTGGCACATCAAAGTTTCATTTTTTAAATAAAACCCCCTGTATATTATTGCATATTTCAATTCTTCCTTCA